CATCTGCATTTTGATTCTTAATTAAAGATATAATGTAGATGTTTATGGGCCACAGCATCCACTTACCATCAGGTGGACTGTGCACCCTTATCTACTATATGTATAAAAGTTAATGTTTGTTTGTTCGTATTTAATGCGCCGCCATACCGTTCGTCAGATTGTGGTAAAACTTTGTCAACTTATTGCATGTACATACTTGCGAAGGTTATAGGCATTAACTTACTATACAATTAACTTACAGTAGATGGCGCGCGTATCGTACCGACAAATTTATTTGAAAGACATATGTTTCATTCAATTTGAATGAATGTATCATCATTCCTAATTTAAACAATATAACTGTTCCAAATTTAAAACGATATTTCCACAATTATTTCTTCTGTGGCAGCAACGCACCGGGTACCAGCTAGTTCTTTATAAATAGAAAAAGATAAATAATAAGTATTATTGTATTAAACTAAATAAAGATAAAGAGATGAATTTAATTAAAATAAACTAGACGAAATATTAGGTCTTTACTCTTTACCTATGTAATTGCCGTTTTTTATTAAATAAGTTAACGTATTTGGTTTTTCCATATTTTTTATTTCTATTAATAAAAACCATGCAATCGATGCATCTTTAACAACAGTGCATCGATTGCATGGCTGATTACTTAGATTAATATTTCATAATTACTCGAATTTTTGACGTATATCCATAATGACGAATAATTTAAAATTAAAACTTTTGTACAACCGATTTCTCACTACACAAATAACTCTAAAACTATTGGCCAGACCTTGATCAAATTTGTATGGGACCACACGAGAAGTATCAGCTTTCAAATAAGAAAAGAATCATAGAAATCGGTTCACCCATTAAAAAGTTATGAGGTAACACACATAAAAAACATACAGTCGAATTGAGTACCGTCTCCTTTTTGAAGTCGGTGGAAAATATTCAAATGCAATGAAAACATAACGCTAATGAATGAATAAGTGCCTAATTTTGAAAAAAGAATTTCACGTATTTAAAATAAAATTAATTTGAATTTAGAAAATTTATTATGATTTGAATTGGCCAGTATTGCAGAACGACAATTTCATAGGTCCTTTCAAGACCTATCTTCGCCTTTATTCGAGTTTCACGCAGCGAAGCCGCGCAATACTGCAAGGCCATTCATAATTTTTCACTTTTTTTTATAGACTTCTTTCGTAATCGCGTGCCGGCAGACAAAAGTATATCGAAATTAATGACCAGAAACTGCCGTCCCCATTTCACTTAATGGCCGCTAGCGTGAATAAATGTGGGCTTGTCTGATTTTTATGGGTTATAACGTATAATTTGAAAGCTCAGTTCAGACTACCATCTATTATACCATCAATACTATCTATTCCCCGCGACTTTGTCCGAAATTTATTTTTTATTTTTTAATAGAATAAGGGTGGCAAACGAGCACATAGTTCAGTAAGTGGTTGCTGTGACCCATAGACATCTACATTTATCCTCAATAAAGAATCAAAATGCAGATACGTCGTCACCCGTGAGGAGTAAGATGGAATGCCTCTTTTCCATTAAAATGGTTGCTATTTTACGCTGGTATTCTGTGAGAGCGTGGTTCTTCCCCGAGGTCGAGCCGACCCATTCGTGCTACAAACATAATATAATTGCAGCGTGGCTCTACCACGTAGAAGTTAACCATAAATCTAGTTATGTTATTGCACAGACGTAAAAACTTCCTTTTATAAGTCTATGAGTAATGGGCCATTTATATTTATGGTTTTGTAGCGTCCGTATCACCTGTACAAATAACTTGTTTGCATTTTATAACTTAAAGATTTAAAATTTCATGTTAAATACATGACATTTTATGTAAACAAGTTATGAAATGCTTTCTTTATAGATGCAATTAAGTGATGATTAGAATGGAATACATTTGCAAATAAAAATATGCAATGTGTAGATGCGTCAGAAATGTCTGTACTCGAATAAAGGTCGCTGCATACAGGAGGGATTCAGCACGTGCACGGGACGGAAACGGAACGTCGTTGTATCTCCACACGAACGGGATTTTATAATGCATACGCAATGTGACAGTGACATACGTGGTAGAGCTATGCTGCAGCTGTATAAGTAGTATAGTTATAGCACGAATGGCTCGACCGGGGAAGGACCATGCTCTCACAGAATACCAGCGTCAAATAGCAGCTTAATGCTGGTGTGTTTCGTATGGTAAGTGTAGAGAAGCGGGACCGTTTTTACTGGAAAAGAGGCATTCAATCTTAGTCCTCACGGCTGACAACGCATCTACATTTTAATTCTCAAACGAAGATAGATATAGATGTCTATGGGCACACTTACCATCGGGTGGACTGTGTGCTCGTTTGTCACACTTATTCTATTTAAAAAAAAAGGTTGCTGCGTATAGGACGGATTCGGCACGTGCACGGGACGGCAACGGAACGTCGTTGTATCTCCACACGCACGCATACGCAACGTGACTCGAAACTAAAGGCGGCTACTGACCTGCCTGCCGCAGGGGCAATCTAGGGAGCACAGCGATCGGAGCAATATCGAAGGCTGCAGGGCCGACTTAAAAAATTGCCCCTGCTTGTCTACACACATCACAATTAAGAAGGCAATTAAGGGACATCTCCACTCCTACACCCTAGATTGCCCCTGCTGCAGGCAGGTCAGTAGCCACCTTAACGTGCTAGTGTTGTGAAAGGGTGGATTTTTCGTTTGAAGAGTTGGCGGAGCGACTGGTGCATTCGCAACGGAACCACGGGGCGGCACGTGGCGCGCACGAGCCGGGACGGGGTAAACATCGTCGCCGATGATATTTTTCTCGTACCGTTCATGCCACGTCCCCGTCCCGTTCGTGTGTCCGTAACGTACACATTTTCACGTACATTTTCTATGGAACGATATTTCCAAAAGTTGACGTCCCGCTCCGTCCGGAATAAGACACGTTACGTATGTAGCGGCCTTAAATCGAGTTTTTTTAACACGTTTTTATTAACTCCTCTTTTGTCTGTACGTGTCGAATTTAGTAATTGATTTAAACTAACCTCCTGGTATGCTAAGGACATGAAATTTTGAACATATAGCTCAGAGTCGGATGACAGACTGACAGACTGACAGAAAAATGGCATGCAAATAACCCCCTCGGCTTGATATACCTACGGCAGTTATTTCTATACTCCGGCTCGTGGCGCAGTGGCTTATCAATGAGTTATTGCGCTGGGGCCGCGGGTATGAATCCCGCACGGAATAGGTATTTGTATGGCCTACAAATAATTGTTCCGGGTCTGGATGTTAATAAACTGCCTCCACTATACAGGAGAAAATCCTAGTGTGATGGTAACGTTTTAAAAAAAATATTGCAGACATACACTTCAATGTTATTTATGTATAGAGGTATAGATATTACATAAAGGAACATATAATAAAGTTAAACATTACATGCACTTCTACTCACCGATAAAACATAATTATGTTTACATGGTCCCATTTATCGAGTAGCTAGTCTGCAATAGAATCGGTCAAGTGGCTTCCACTGACCTGTTTCCTTCAAGTAGGTTTACGTCTTGAACAGAAAAAGAACTAATGATAACACATTGTACATGTATGTATTTGTTATGACTTTTCTTTTTTAAATTATTTATTACCCACTGGTATTTTTTTTTTATAGAATGAGGGTGACAAACGAGCATACAGTCCATCTGATGGTAAGTGGATGCTGTGGCTCATCGACATCTTCATTTATTCTCGATTGAAAATCAAAATACAGTTGCGTTTAGTAAGAGTTGGTGTGCTACTAAAGAGTACATGATTGCTAATAACCCCGGGGAATGTGGTGATCGTTACCATGCTACTTCTAAATGTTTTCATAGCAACTGTATAAATATTATATTGTAAGTTATACTTAAAAAAAAGTCCCGCTGCGTTTCTTGCCGGTTCTTCCCCGGACAGAAGGTTTTTCCCGAACCAGTGGTACAAGTAAAAAAATAATTTTCAATAGGTATCATACCGGGCTTAGACTCTCGCCTCGCGCCTCGCCGCGTACCTCACCTCGCATCTCGCGTGTTGTTGCGAGGTAACGAGTGCCTGTTTAGTTTACACTCTCGCTCTCGCGATGCGGTTAGTTTGCGTTGAGCCAGCAACGATGGGAGACGTCGAAATAATAGCGGCATCAACTTTTGCCGTATTTATCGATGCTTGACCATTTTAAAAGGAAATGAAAAAAAAACCTCGTTGAAGAAGAATTATGGTGAATGATATCTATTCATCGAAACGGAACCTTTCGAGTTTCATAATATTATATAAATTGCTAGTACCTATTGTGCAAGATTAAATAATATAATTTTATTAAAATTGTAATTTTAAAACAAAAGCAATTCGAATATTATTATGGAAGGGCGCCGTAAACCAACTGAAACGTGAGCGCGAGTGTAAACCTACGCTCGCGTCCCTCGCGAGGCCTTTTGCCTCGTGCCCAAAAAACCGCTTCCGACGCGAGCGCCGCGAGTGGCGAGGCGAGCCACGAGCTAGCGTTTACATTTGCGCCTCGTGGCTAGCCTCGCGACTCGCTTCGCCGCTCGCGCGAGAGTGTAAACGGGCTATTATATGTAATCAATATAAAATTAAAAAAAAAACGTGTGTGTTTACTTATGTACACACGTAAGAAGTTATACTTCTTTAGCGTAACAAAACATAGTATAGATTCATAAATATTTTATAATTACCTTGACTATAGTTATCAGTTCTCATGAAAATTTGACAATTGACAGACAATTATCAACTGAAGTTGTAGCTTTTACGTTTCGATGTGCTCGCACATTGTAACAACTTCATGGTGTCGTTTTTAGGTGTCGGTGTGCGCGAATAGTAAAAAATTCACTCTCATCATTTCTCTCAAACGCGCCAAAAGAAACTTCAATTATTCTATTCTATTATTAATAATATACAATAAGAAAATAATATATTGTAACTAATTTCAACATATTTTCCTCCAGGTTATCAGAACTTGAAAGCGACGTCGACAATGAAGTCGATATTGACGGCATACAAGGTGGAAAGATGACAGACGAATGGGTGATTAACCCTGACGATGAACGATCGGATGGAGATTACGTGAAGTATCTCAATGACTTAAAGGTTAATAAGAATGGAGAGGAAATGAGTGACGTCATCATCGAGACATTCTCATATCTACCTAACAAAAGACTGGAGAAAATAGAAGAAATCATACCGGAAGATTTCGAGGAAGGAGATGAGAGTCAGATAAGGGTTAGACGCCAAGTGAATGAGACCGCAGAAGAAGTAAAAAATTCCACTGATTCAGTTATCGGTCTGGGTGAAAAACCTGTTACCGTTTCCAATATTACATTGAAGGTGCTAGGTTTGAGAGTGGAGGAATCGCAGAAGGAACCGAAAATCGTTGACGAGGTGATACCGAGCGTGCTCCGGGACACAACGTTCACTCTCAGGTTGTTCGGGGAGGGCTTCACTGAGCACACTGAGATAGCGTTTACGCATGTTCCCGAGGATTACGGCACTCTGTGTCACTTCCTATTGCCAGGGGAGTACAAGGTATGTCTGTTGTTTTTGACGTGAATACGTCTTTAAATTTTCTTTCATATTGGGAGGCAATTCAGAAAACCGATGACAACAAAATCGGGGATACAGTTTGGTGTTGCAGCTATATATCTATTATCTACATCCTAAACTTAATTACACCACTCGATAGGATCGAAAAATTTGTTACGCTGAGTGAGATCTGTGACACGTAGAATAAGGGTGACAAACGAGCACACAGTCCACCTCATGGTAAGTTTTTCTATAAAAAAATCGGTTGTCTGTAAAGTCGGTTTACTGACGATAGTTGAACGTGACAACGTCATAAGAAAATGTTGCTATAAACAATTGACACCACATTCACTTTTCACTTCACTTCATACTTGACGAAAACATGTAAATGTATTGTTGTATAGCAGCTGTCCATGCGGACGCATTGCTCACTCAAGTAGGAGAGAGACAGATGTCGAACGCTGCCGAACGCGGAGGCCGATTGTGCCTCTTTGTCGCTCGTTCCGCGCTCTCGCTTGCACTTCAAGCCTTAAATGGAACGCCTCAGAGCGAGGTAACGCCGCATGAGTCATGTTTTTTCGTGGGTGCAGCCAGCTTCATCGAATTATAAGACGTTGTCACGTCAAAAAAAAAACATTTATCCTCATTAAGAATCAAAATGCAGATGCGTTGTTACCACTGAGGACTGAGATGGAATGCCTCGTTTCCAGTAAAAAAGTGCCCTGGTTCTCTACACTCACCATACGAAACACAGCAGTATTATTTTACGCTGGTATTCTGTGTGAGCCGGTCGAGCCAACCGATTCGCGCTACAACCATAATATAGCTTCAGTGAAGCACCAACCATATTTAAATCTTTCGCTGCAATTTCCAACCAGTAACAAGCAATGATTTTCACTTATACTGAAAGTTTTACCGTCCAAACTGGAATACTTACAGTTCTAAAATACACTTTTGATAGTAAGTGGTAACAGGTAAACTAACCCAGATAGGCTTCTAGGTAGAAAGAAAGTCCTTAAAGTTAAAAGTTAAAGTTACAGCCTATATATACGTCCCACTGCTGGGCACAGGCCTCCTCTCATTTCTGTGAGGGTTTCAGGACAAAAAAACGTCCGCGGCGCTGCCTCCAAATGCGTGTTGGCGAACTTCACATGTCTTTAAAGTATTAGTTTTTTTTTGTTATTCCTCGGACATGCACAATGTTTTCCTTCACCGCTGAGCACGTGTTAAATCAGCACTTAAAATAGCAATTAACAATTTCCTTGGTGCCGGCGCGGATCGAACCCGGGTTGCTCGCGTACTGTGAAATTTACAGTGAGCACTTAATCCTTGAGCTACCACGGCTCACGAACAGGAAGTCCTATCATAGAATAAATAATAGTACGTCCTACTTTAACCTTAGCTTTACCAAATATAAAATATTACAATATATTACGTAACTTCTTTAATAAAAAAAAAATGGCAAACGCAAGGTATAAATTCAATAAACTATTAAACAGGTCAAAGAAGTCAGCGGCGACGCAGCTCTATTTGAGCTTACAGCCCCGTTGCCTCTAGAAGACTACCGATTCTATATATGCGCGAGGAATTCCGCGAAGGATGAATTCATCCACCAGGGCCGCGAGAAGTGGAAGATCCTTGGCACCCATAACAAACTGTTACCACTGTGGGTCTCCTTAATACTCATTGTGGTCTTGCTGATGCTGGCTTCGCTGTTCTCCGGTCTGAACCTCGGTCTCATGGCTCTGGACAGGACGGAACTGAAGATCATCGCCAACACCGGCACCGAGAAGGAGAGGAGATACGCGCGGGCCATCATGCCGGTTCGGGCCCACGGCAACTATCTCCTGTGCACCATCCTGCTGAGTAACGTGGCTGTGAACAGCACTTTCACTGTCATCCTGGACGACCTGACGTCTGGACTGGTCGCCGTTATCGGTTCGACGCTGGCGATTGTGTTTATCGCCGAGATAACGCCGCAGGCGATATGCGCTCGACACGGTCTATTTATAGGTGCCAAGAGTATCTGGATTATGAAGGTGGGTTGGTTTTCTTATTCTGTTTTCTTCCGACTTCAAAAAGGAGACGGAACTCAATTCGACTGTATGTTTTTTATTTGTGTGTTACCTCATAACTTTTTACTGGGTGAATCGATTTTGATGATTCTTTATTTTATTTGACAGCTGGTGCTTCACATGTGGTCCCATATAAATTTGATCAAGGTTTGACCAATAGTTTTTCAGTTATTCTTAATAATTTATATTGAAGTCGGTTGTACAAAATTTTTAATTTTAAATTATTTTTTCAGTCTTAACGGAAAGAAACGAAGGTTTGCAATTCGAATGTTGAAATTTAAATTCGAAGACAAAAGGGGTGACATTTTTAATGTCATTATTTAAAACCTCATTGCCCATTTTTCCCACACTTATGGACCACCCTGAAATATAACCTATTTATGAAAAAAAAAAGAATTTACAGGAAATCACAGTCGAATGGAGTACCTTTATCCTTTTAGGAGTCGGATAAAACTAGCTCTTATTACAGAAAGTATTAACATTAAGGAATGAGAAAATATTGAGATAAACTCGCGAAACCATCCACACCATCTGAATGATTGGCGTTCGACCACTGTACGATTTACTAGGAGTTTTCTTCCTCGCACCTACTGCTTTGTGAAATCGTCAACCACCGGATATTTTTCGAGACCGATACAGCCTAGGGACCTTCAAGAAACTAGCTGATTCATTTTTAAAAGCCGGCCACGAACCTGCAATTCCCCTGGTGTTCCAGTTGTTCATGGTCGGCAATCGACACATCCTACTTAACGCTTTTTATAACCTTGATTTGGTTGAAACCTATCTTGTTAGCCTGGAGCAGAGTAGCGAGCCTATCCGTATTCTATAGGATGCATTTCGGAGAGTGTGTCGGCTGGTCTTCATTCCATTTGGTGTCAATATTCCACGGAATAGAACCAAACGGTTTTTTTGTAGTATACGTGTGACAAACGAGCACACAGTCCACCTGATGATAAGTGGATGATGTGGCTAATTGTATGATTTTTCACCAGATTGTGATGGGTATCTGTGCTCCGCTCGCTTGGCCCACTAGCAAACTCCTGGACTACTTCCTCGGCGAGGAGATTGGCACGCACTACAACAGGGAAAGGCTAAAGGAGCTTGTTAAGGTACCTAATACTTTTTTTTTAATTACTGACTCGGCAGACGTTGTGTTGCCTTGACAGAAGTATTTTTCGAACCAATTGTAAATTCAACATAAAAATGACTCAATAAATATTATTTATAATCTATATTAAATAAAAAAAAATCTATTTGTGTTAAAACTCGACCACAGCGCCGCTTCGCACTTCAAACTTGTTTTATATTCATAAATAAATTTACTAACGTCCCTTGTCACTTAGTGTGTGTGAGTGAGTGAGAGGGTTAAGTTGTTTCATTGTTTGTACATTTATATTACGTATTAAATATGTTAATTGTTTTTTTTTTTTAGATAGATACCTCAGCAGAGTTTCCAATTATATAAATGCGTTTTTACGTGGTAGAGCCATGCTGCAGCTATATTAGTAGTATAGTTGTAGCACGAATCGATCGGTTCGCCTGGGGAAGGACCACGCTCTCACAGGATACCAGCGTAAAATAGCAGCTTAACACTGCTGTGTTTCGTACGGTGAGTGTAGAGAACCGGAGACCCTTTTTACTGGAAAAAAAGGCATTCTATTTTAGTCCTCACTGCTGACAACGCATCTGCATTTTAATTCGCAAACGAAGATAGATGTATGTTTTTATTTATCCTCGATTAAAGAATCAAAATGCAGATGCTCCGTGGCTGCGTGGCGCAATGTCTTATTAATGTGTTGCAGCGCTAAGGGTCGCGAGTTCGAATCCCGCACAAAACAAGTATTTGTATGGCCTACAAATAATTGCTCTGGGTCTGGATGTTTGTCCTTGTGAAATATATGTATGTAAACGGCCCCCGCAATACAGGAGAAAATCCTACTGTGGAGGTAACGTTTAAAAAAATCCAAAAATCAAAAATGCAGATACGTTGTCACCCACGAGCAGAATGCCTCGTTTCCAGTAAAAAGGGTCACCGGTTCTCTACACTCATTATACGAAAGACAGCAGCATTAAGCTGCTATTTCACGCTGGTATTCTGTGAGAGCGTGGTCCTTCCCCGGTCGAGCCGACCCATTCGCGCTACAACCATAATATATCTGTAGCGTGGCTCTACCACTTATATATCAACTTCACATCAATATAAAAACACAGATATCTAATACCCAAAATAAAAAATATCCTTATTTTTATTTGAGAGAAGGAACATTTGAAATCGCACAAAATTCACAGCTCAATCAGTCAATCTGTCAGTACTACTTTTTTTTAATAACTGGCTTTATGACTCTGGGTTCTAGCCCTTCTGAGCCTGAAGTTACAATGTATAATTATCCTTCGTAGTACACTGCTTCACAATATGTTGATGCGTCACATTGTGCAGCCCTTGGGAGATTTCGACGGCAACTTGAGCCAGCAGACAGCTGACGGTTGGCGATGGTATCTCAAGGCGCCTAAGTAGACAGCCACCTTATCTTGAGAATCACATCACCATCAGAGCACTTGTTTCACAGTTTCCACTAATAGTTCACATGTGCAAACATTTAATACTCAAAATCGCACCACTTTTACATATCAAAATCCACTTCCAACCACTATTTAAACAATAATACAGAAGCAGCAACCACCGGTCAAGTTCCCGCCAAAACTCCTGTCAGTACTACTCGACTGTTTGACCACAGACTATCAAGTGTTTGACAATAGCCTTAGAGTAATATTCGTACCACCCAAACCACCGAAAAATATCGTTCTTAAACTTGTAATCTGAGACATTGATAGTATGAAAGTAAACAAACTACACAATTTGGTCAAGCGACAATTATGTTTTACATTGGTATGTATGAAAATAAACATTATAATTTTTCTTAAGGCCAGGTGTTCCAAGCGCATTAGGTATTTACGTACGGACACCGCCGACGCGGCGCTGAAAAATAAATATAGGTAACTTACCATATTTCTTTCGCGATTCGCGCATAATTTTGGTACAGGTCATACCTCGGCAACGTACCGCGGGACACTTGGCAAGCGACGCGCGAATCAAATCGAAAAAAAAAAACGTTCGGTGCAATCGGTTGCAAAATTAATTACCTATAAATTGATTATATTTATAAAAAAAAGGAGTATTAATACTTGTTTAAAATGAAATTTGGCTTGTAAAGAAACTGCAAATCGAACGTAGTTCGGTATTTTTTTTCTATCGAGAAAATTGTATTGTATCGTGTATTGACCGGGTACATCGTAAGGAGAAACAATATATCTAGAATATTATTTTTTTCAGATTCTTAATGTAATAATTTGCCTATCAAAACCAATTTTAAAACGGACTAAAACGGGAACACCCAGCCTTAATGCATTCTAACACAATATTACACATATAGTTTAGCTTTCTACACTCCTTTTTATAAACTTTATAACTGTGCCAAATCTCACTCTCACTCCTACGTGCGCGCAGTACGCTTAAAAAAAGATAATACGTTTTCCCTTCACGTATTAACGTATTGATTATGACTGAATGGGAACAGGATGTGGGCAGTCGCCCAAATAATTTTTAGTCTCCATTGGCTGGCTCCCTTTAAAAATATCTTCGGCTCGTTACGGAGAAACGTTTTTAATAATTTCATTGGAAGACCGTTACCGTTACAGCCTATTAAAGTCCTAGTAGGAAGCCTAGGCAAGCGCTTGGCAAGCTGGTTGGCTGGCAAAGTTTTTTATTTTTTGTCGTTATTAGGAAGACGCTGCTGCACATCTCCTGATTTGTTTCACTCCGTCGCCTCTTACGACAGCCACGGGATGATATGGGGTAGTGGATATTCTTACACTGTCACTATACGATTACACTAGTGACTCGCCTTACTCCGCCTGGTTTGGATCTATTAATGTGGTTAATTTAGATTTATCACTGCTGGCATTGCTTTCTGTTCGTCAAGTTTAGTTGCAATCGATTCAGCCATTCCAAAAATAAGTCCGGACAGGCTGACAGATATACAACATTTAAAAAAAAATGTTTTTCGTGTTTTAATGATATGCAAAACCTCACAGCGCAATATAAGACAATTATTTCGATATTACATACAGAAACTTTTTAGATGTATGGATAATATAGTGCCAGAGCGAATGTGCATCTTGTTCCCTTGGTTACGCAATTCATAATTAACAGTAATAAATAGCGTAACGCACTACACATTGAGCGTAGCACAACTGCAATTCGACAATACCGTAATATGTGCCGATCACAATCGCACATGTAAGGTAATATGCAATCTCAACATTGTGTAAGGGTTTTACCGCACCAATCGATCGATCGTCGATCGATGCCACTGATCGACGTTGATGGATGTCGATCCATTGGTCGATAAAACGTTTTTCAATCATCGATTGACAATAAACCGATGTGGTTGTGGGCTCATCATCAGTATCTTTCAAAATGTATTCAGAAGAAGTTAATAGTTCTCAAATATATTGAGACGTGGTAGATCCATGAATGGGTCGGCTCGACCGGGGAAGGACCACACTCTCACAGAATACCAGCGTAAAATAGCAGCTTAACACTGTTGTGTTTTGTATGGTGAGTGTAGAGAACCAGAGACCCTTTTTACTGGAGAAGAGTCATTCCATCTTAGTCTTCACGGGTGACAACGCTACTGCATTTTGATTCGCAAACGAGGATAGGTGTAGATGTCTATGGGCCACAGCAATCACTTACCATCAGGTGGACTGTGTGCTCGTTTGTCACCCTATCCTATAGAAAAAATCAACCAGCTGGATCGACGTCGACTAATCCATTCTACCATCTTTAAATTAGGTTAACACACGATTTTGTCTTTTCATGCAGATCCCGATGTGTTTCTTAATGAATATCTAAATCGAGTGTACTACAAGTTCGTTTGTCCCTTTCAACTTTACATAAAAATATGTCAATTTATCTCCCATCTCTTTCCCCACCAGATTACGAACCATGTCAATGACTTGGACAAAGAGGAGGTGAACATCATCTCCGGGGCCCTGGACCTCCGCAAGAAGACTGTAAGGGATGTGATGACTCAGCTCAAGGACTGTTTCATGCTGCCCATCGACAGTGTGCTCGACTTCGAGACCATGTCCGAGATCGTCAAGTCTGGTGAGTTTTTGGGTTACAACTTACGCTGGTTCGTTGCTTGTGTACTACACGGCACGCGAACATGCGTGCATACACGTACGCGCACGTACGTACTCGGTTAACTTACTACAGAGATATTGTGATATCTACATTAAAAAAAAAACTTACTTTGTAATTGGTTTAAATTGTTAACTTTACATTCTAAACGATGTATTTCTCCTAATAACCGGTATTTGACTTAACCTACTTCTAGATTCTAGGGGTACAGGTACATTGTTCTTCTGTTTGGGTAGCCTATTGAATTTTGAACCTTTATTACCTAGTCATAGGGTGCTTGTTTCAGTGCAACTCAGCAGACGATATTTGACAAACTTTTAATCGTCAAAAATTTGCCATGTATTAAAAATAATCATAAGGATAAGAATATCTTTTATAGAATAAAATAAAATCCAACAAAATAACAGTCAATAAAGATAGTCATTATCACTAAATGGTGTTTTACATAACTTTTTATTAAAGAAACGTTGTCCCCACATTAAGAAACGTTCTAGAAGACTTTAAATGATATTTTTCTTTCTCTTCTTCCACCACTATTAACTTACTTACTTATCTTCACGCACAATCCCTGACGGGGTAGCCAGAGAGAACAGATCGCCAAGTGTCACGATTCTTACAAACCTCTTTCGCTTCTTAACCACTATTAACGCTTAGATATTAAGCGGAATGTATACATATACGTTACCGCCATTTGCCATTTTTATCCAATCGACTTAATTTGTATCATTGTAAGTCGAAACAACTTTAATACGCGTGAATTGTACTGTTTAGGAATAAAATTACAATAAAATACGTATTACGTAGCAGGCAGTTTAATCGCTCCAAGCAGACTGACAATTCTTTCCTTACCCGGTTATTTATTATATTATCACTCTTTAAATACATCACAACATGAAATAAATTGAGTTATTTTAAAATTACAGGGAAAATCTCACGTGAGGGGGAGGGGAGGTCCCGAAATCTCATCAAGGGGGAGAGAGTGCGGGGTCCAAACTAAAAAAAAAAAACACCTCACGACATTAAGCCCCCTTAGATCTTTTTCGCGTAATAACTTCATAAATACATTGTATATAAACAACATATATTATATTAACAGGCTAATTATAAAGTATTTATCAACATGACTTTAAGGATTTGGCTGTATACAGTGAATATTTGTAGGTTACTCCCGCATCCCGGTGTACGAGGGCAGCCGCGGCAACATCGTGACGGTGCTCTTCATCAAGGACCTGGCCTTCGTGGACCCTGACGACAACACACCGCTGAAGACGCTCTGCCAGTACTACCAAAACCCGTGCAACTTCGTCTTCGAGGACGTCACGCTCGACGTCATGCTTAAGCAGTTTAAGGAAGGTAAGCTATGACTACAGCCGTCGACGTCTGGAAAATTTAGAAATTATCTAGAATAAAAAACTGCTTTGGCCGTGGTAGGAAACGGGGAGATGTCCCACTCGGGCAATGGTGTTCAAGCCCGGGGCGCGGCCAACGCTCCGTGTGTACTTACACAGCTGTTCTATATATAGTACATTACTTCGGAACTTGTGTTAGCATGATTTAGGCTTCGGTGTGTTTTGCCACACTGCCTATGTTTGCTCACAAAATGTCCTCCAGACCGAATTTCGGTCACGATGGCCAGTTTCAACAGAGACAAGCCAGGAAGAACTCGATTGTAGTGCCCAAGTGCACGCGCAAGCACAGGTGCACTCTCTATTGCCTCACTCTCATAATCCGATGGAACGGTGACCGACTTGACTTTTTTTATAAGATAGAGTGACAAACGGTCACACAGTCCAACTGATGGTAGGTGGTTGCTGTGACCCATAGACATTTACATCTATCATCAATAAAGTATCAAAATGCAGATGCGTCGTTACCCGTGAGGATAGAGAGCTACACTCACCATACGAAACACAGCAGCATTGAGCTGCTATTTTACGCTGGTATTCTGTGAGAGCGTAGTCCTTCCCCGGTCGAGCCGACCCATTCGTGCTACAACTATACTACTAATATAGCTGCAGCATGGCTCTACCACGTATGACTGGAGAGAGATTTACGAAAAGAGGCATTCCATCTTAGTCCCCACGGCTGACAACGCATCTGCATTTTATTCGCAAAGGAAGACAGATGTAGATGTCTATGGGCCACAGCAACCACTTACCATCAGGTGGACTGTGTGCTCGTTTGTCACCCTTATTTGTTATCTCCGTCCTCAGAGGTGACAAAGCATGTATAGCCTTCCTTATTTGAAGTTTATTTCTCTTATGTTTATGTAGTTGGCTGTCCATGGACTGTTTACCACCATTTACCATCAGTTGGACCATTAGTTCCTTTGTCACTACAGTTTTATAAAGATCACACATATAAAACATAACAAACCATTTGTTGATATATTGCGAAACATGAATGAAAACAACACAACATATTAGATCACCCTTTTACTTTAGCTCATTGGAATGCCATCGGATGCCAAGCTGACGTCAAACGCTTCTTGCCAAATGGCCGGTGACGTCACAGGCTCTTACTTTCACTTTTCGACGGCTCCGTGGCGTAGTAGCTTAGCAATGAGTTGTGGCGTTGAGGACCGCGGGTTCCAATCCCGCACGGAACAAGTGTTTGTATGGCCCACAAACAATTGTTTCGGGTCTGGATGTTTGTCCTTGTGAAATTTATATATGTAAATTGCCCCCACGATACAGGAGAAAATTAACGAGAGGTAACGTTTTTTTTTTTAACGAAAGAAAACCAAAATTATTTTTTTAATGAAAGGTCGTCTTAATACGAAATTATATTATATAAGTAAACTGCCACCACGATGCAGGAGAAAATCTTTGTGTTTAATACTGCTGTGTTCCATTATTCATACCATCTTAGCCCTCAGGGTTGACAAGGGGTGGATTGTGTGCTCGTTTGTCGTCCTTATTCTATAAGAAAAATGTTAATGTTCATGTCCCTCCACGCTCCCCCTCCACTTTCACTTTTAGCGAATTGGCGTCACACCGCTATATGTCAACGTCGCGGTGACGTCGTGGAATTCAAAATGGACGTTTGACGTTTATTGGACAACGGTACGGATTTAATTTTGGACGATCGTAATATTGCCGTGTAGTGGCGGCGTACGGGAATCGTCCAGTCCAGCGCTTCCTAAAGTGAGTTCCGCGAAACCTAGGGGTTCGGTAGAAAAGTCACCAGGGTTCCGGGAAATTATATTTATTGATGAAATAGTGAAGCAATTTCTTTCGTTATCATTAAAAATTTAAGTAAAGAATAAAGTAGTTTAAGTTTAAAATATTTGGAATAAAAGTTTTTGTTCTTATTTAAATTACAGTGTCTTCGATTTGTAATCATTTGATATGCAGTTCCATGAAATAAAAGTTATTTTGTGGGTGTTCCGTTATCTTAAATGTTTAGGAACCCCTGATCTAGCCTATATCATCCCGTATCGGTATCGCAAGAGCCGACATAGACAGGAGATGGGCAGCAGCGTCTTCCCGATAACAGCAGCATTAAAATAAAAGAAATGCTGCTGATGGCAACTCGTCTGCCAATTGTCACAACTATGGCAAATATCCCCCCTATATAATATACAGGTAGAGCTTAGGTCCCCGAAACAATACCACTACTATAACAAAACCACTCGCATTAAAAGCTAATGTGCTGTTTTCGAGAATATAAAAAAACAACTATTATAACCTAAAAATGGGTAAAACATAGAAAAACGAACACAATATTATTGTGAAAGCTGAATAGCATACGTAATTTTGTCCAAGTGTGACAAGGACGTAAGATCATATCTCAAAGACTAGTGTTACATTATAGGTCCGTCTATGGTACTTTTATGTTTCTGTGGTCTATGCCAGGGGTCCCCAAATTTTTAAGGTAATGGAACACTCACCAAAATTCTTTTATTTTATGGAACCCGAATCAAATCATCATCATCTAATGATTACATATCATAGACAGTGCAATAGAAATATTATTATATAAAATTCTCGCTAACTACCTACGCGTCTATATACCGTAAGCAAAGTATACCAATGTGTTGTTCTTGTCATCGCATATTTTGCGAAAATTCAAAATAATATTTGCATCAGTGTGCAATTATTTAACAAGCAAAATAAACGATTTCGCGAAACCCTCGTGACATATCCACGGAACGCTTAGGTTCCGCGGAACACACTTTGGGATTTTCTGATCTATGCTCTCATAATAAACTATGTTTGTAAACAATAATAAAATGGTTATTTCTTACTTTACACCCAGAAATCCTTTTAGTTAGGGTAGAAGGCTGTGGCTGCATCATTTGTAGTTATTTTTTTTACTCTCACAGAATACCTGCGTAAAATAGCAGCTTAATGTCGCTGTGTTTCGTATGGTGAGTGTAGAGAACCGGAGACCCTTTTTACTGGAAAAGAGGCATTCCATCTCAGTCCTCAAGCGTGACAACGCATCTGCATTTTGATTCGTAAACGAGGATAAAAGTAGATGTCTATGGGCCACAGTGGTTGCCACTTACCATCAGGTGGACTGTGTGCTCGTTTATCACCCTATCCTATAAAAAAAAGGGGACCTCCTCCCCCTCACCCTTCTTGTCGGAGAGTTTTATTATCATTTTTCCAATCCTATCCTAATCTTTGGGGAGGCCCATGCTCAACAGTGGACTTTCGATGTGCTGCGATGATGATTTGGAAGTAACAGTATAAAAACAATATGATAAGTTGACTTATCCTTCGTAAGTCATGGTAGAGCCATGCTGCAGCTATATTAGTAATATAGTTGCCTATTAAAGTCCACTGCTGAACATAGGTCTCCCACATAGATTGCCTTGTAAGGGGGATATTTGCCATAGTTGTAATGTTACTGTTGATTTGCAAATTTCACCTCTCAGTGGGTCATGTGCTCCTGGTAGATTATCTTCTATACATACATCCATTACAGCCTACTGCTGAATAGATTGCCTCATATTTATTGGGGGATGTTTCTCATGGACATGGACGCGATGGGTGTGGTGACCAGCGAACGCCGCCAGGTCCTGTAACTTGTTCAGCGGACGCGTCAAACGCTTCTTCGTTCGGTTGTCACCTGTAACATAAACCTTCTAATGTATAAAAATACCGTTACAGGCTATTAAAGTCCACTGTTGAAAATAGACCTCCACTATTGTCTCAGGGGAGTATTTGAAACAGTTGCCTCGTTTGGCAAGCGGGTTGGCAACCGCAGTTTTTTTTAAATTCCTTATTAGGAAGACCGTCTCCTGATTTGTTTCCCTCTGTCGCCTCTTACGACACCCACGGGATGATATGGGGTAGTGGATATTCTTACACCGCCACTACAAGGACTACACTCAGCATAATTTCGTGGTATTATTCATGATTGTAGTTTTCAGTGCGCCCTCTAGTGAGTAACGTACGGACGAATATGCAACAATGAGTAAAACTATTACTATTTTTGGAAAGAAGTTCCTTTATCGGACGGTACGAATTTGGCGGATGGTGGGCTAGGCGAGAAAAAGTGAAAGATGTTTTCCGTCACGACCCCTTCTGACGTAGTGTAGACGGCCTTGGCGGCTATAAGGAAGCGAGATGGAATAACATCCATTTCCCTCGCACTTTCTTGCCATGAAATAAATATTATTTTATTTTAATAGACGCTAGTAATTAATTTATTTGTATTTGTCAATCAATAATATAATACGTTTATAATACGTCAATAATAATATACTACGAAAGGAACTTCGTTCCAACCGAGTGTTCCACGACAGTCACGAATGTTTTATTTATTTGGCTAGTTTTTTCTTTATTATAGTTTTTTAATATTGTATATACATATTAATAAATTAAGATAACAAATTTGTTTTGAACTGTTACTATTAGTATATCACAACTGAATAGTGAAAGATTTACTAACTTTTAAAGAGCAATGGCAGAAAAATAGTTGACAAAAATTATCGCGTCTAGAAATAAGTTATATATAAAAAGGGTTTTATTAGTTTTCTATGATTTTTCAAATAAAAATGTATTTTAATTAAAGCCACAAAAAAAACAAATATTTTTTGGAATATCAAATGACTTAAATCATTTTACTCTATTCAAGTGTTGACATTTAGTATATTCATACTATTTTCGTATACACTTTGTAAGACTACCAACACAACACACAAAATATTTTTATATTAAGTTATTATTAGTAATAACTGTACTATCAGTAATAATAAAAATAAAAGTGATATGGCTGAGAATAAGTCTCTCACAAAGAACTTCCTACAATAATACATTATCTCAATCATAGTACTATGTTACAATTCCATTTAATGTTATGCCAACACTAGCTAAAATAAAATGTCACTGTTTTTTTTTACTGGCTTTACGGCTCTGGGTTATAGCCCTTCTGAGGATGTCACTATAATACAAAGGCCCTGGAATATACATTGCCATGCCAGAAATATACATTTATAGTATGCAAATATTAATAGAGATACAATAATCTAAAAACTCTCAATTATGTAATATGTATTAAGCTAACATCAAACAACCACAGGAAGCATGACTTTTTCCAAGTGACATAGGACATAACCTAAAAAGGTTCAAATCTAAATATCTTTTTTTTTGACGCCTTTTCAGGACAAAATTCTTTGACAGAGTTATTAAGGGACTGACGCTTAATATTTAAAGATATTTTTAATATATAGACGCTACTATTTCTTCTCAACTAATTTTATGTATGAAAATCTGCCGTTGTCCTTTACATATTTCTTACGTATGTGAATATTATATGTAATCACAAATAACGCCAGAAATACGTCGGGAAACTTTTGGCTGGCGATCGAGGTCGCCGCGAAACGAAACACGACCGTCTGGAAATTTTGTTTATTTATAAATTATGAAAAATGTGGTTTTAGAAGTAATGCCAACGATTCACCAAATGCGAAGGAAACAGAAAAATTTTATTACCAGAAACTTAGTTACTCTATTTTTTTTTTTTTACCTAAATGTAACACCTTAAAGTAAAGGGTACATAGGACTTAATGTCATGTGGTATTCTATGCCAGTCAACCCTGGATGTCAAAGCGAAACATAATACTTATATAAAGTGTACCTGTGTACATTAAAAATAGTTTGGGAAAAATCCAAAAGTGGACGCCTCATGAGCGTTTCATTTAATTTTAATGAAAAAAAAAAATTGTTTACTGACTTTTAAAATATTTACATGTTTTAAATTTCTCTTTAAAGTGCTCTATTACTTTAACAGGTAATGTTACCTACATTTTTTTTTATAGGATAAGGGTGACAAACGAGCACACAGTCCACCTGATGGTAAGTGGTTGCTGCGGCCCATAGACATCTACATCTATCGTCTGTTACAAATCAAAATGTAGATGCGTTGTCACCCGTGAGGACTAAGATGGAATGCCTCATTTCCAGTAAAAAAGGCCTCCGGCCACCTGCACTCACCAAGCGAAACGCAGAGGTAAACCTCTACTTCACGCTGGTTTTCTGTGAGGTCGTGGTACCACCCCGGTTCGAGCCGGCCCATCCGTGCGACAGCAAAAGCTGCCGCGTGGCTCTACCACTGTTAAATACATAGGAAAAAATTAATAATGTTCACCAAAATATCGATTACACAAAGTATAAAATCGATATAGCCTAAAAAATATGAGTGCCTTTAAATTTTGAATAGCAATAAAACTTGAATATCATTTTATTAACAAAGTACGCGTACTAGGCTATTGATATGAAATAAGGAACCACTTGATGTAATTCTGAAGCTAATAAGAAAACTTGGTATCGATACGTCAATTTTTTTGGGAGTTATCGTGACCACATACAAAATCAACATCCGGACGTCCACGTAAAATTTTTTTCAAACCATTTTTCATCAAAGTAGCAATATAAAATGATTTGTTAGAATATATAAGATGCATTAATTACAGTGTTTTCCTGATATACGGCTACTCATATTATCTTATAAGTTCAATATGGTTATGATAGAGGCATTTTAAGAACATAAAATTGCTTGACCTTTTCTACCAAATTCAAAAAGAAGGAGGTACTGAATTCGACTTTGTTTTTTTTTATGTGTGTTACCTCATACCTTTTTCTGGGTGAACCGATTTAGATGATTCTTTTTTTCTGACATCTTGATGGACAAACAATTTTAAAAATTGTGCTTTTGTTATTATAATTTTACTTTTAATGTATTTAGTAAAAACAGACTTTGTTTTTGATCCCAGGTCACAAAGGTCATATGGCGTTCGTCCAGCGCATTGAAGAAGGCGACGGTGACCCAGTTTACGAGACTGTTGGTCTGGTCACCTTGGAGGATGTCATCGAGGAGATGATCCAAGCGGAGATCGTCGACGAGACAGACGTCATCAGTAAGTAACTGCAGGCTGTGAGACATTCCATCTTAGTCCTCAGAAGTGACAACACATCTGTAGCCTTTTTAGTTTGATGGTGGCTGCAGGTGTCCACCCACTAGTGGACTGACTAGTGTGGCGCAACAGCTCTAATGCATTAAAGTTCAAAAATGTTTGTAAAACATCTCCCTAGAACGGGTTCCTTGTATTGTTTTCTGACTTCTGATGCGCTGTACCTTTCGACGGAGAAGGGGGAGGAGTTGTTCTCTCCCGAATGGGGCTGCTTGGGGTGGTGCTATAAGTGTTACCATGGGCCTGCCAATATGCGGTGAAGGTGAAACGCCATAGTGTATTAGTCGATATGAGTCCGACATAACTTGACAGGCATTTCTGAAAATTAATTTACTTAATATTTTTTTATAGATAATAATAAAATTTAATAACTATTTTTAAAGGTTATGTGGTATCGTTAGAGAAGACAGAGTAATACAAACCAGGAGATCATCATCATCATCATCATCATCATCATTACAGCCCTTCACAATTCCACTGCTGAACGTAGGCCTTCCCCAAGGAATGCCACAGAGCAAGGTCCTGAGCCACCTGCATCCATCGACTTCCTGCCTGTCTAAGCAGGTCGTCACTTCATCTAGTGGGGGGTCGGCCTACATTTCGCCTACCGGTATTTTTTCTCCATCGGTTATCGGTTCTTCGAGCTATATGGCCGGCCCATTGCCACTTCAGCTTACTAAATCAGGAGATGGGTAGAAGAAATAAAAAACTGCAGTTGCCAACCCGCCTGCCAAGCGCGACCACGGTGCCAAGATTCAGATGTGAACTTTCGTAAGTTTGTGACGGTTGGAAAGGTGTCGAGTGTTGAAATTTATAACAATAGTAATTGATCATTATTGTCTCCTTCTGGCCGTATGAGGAAGCTCAAGATCGCTCAGCGAGCTATGGAGAGGGCTATGCTCGGGGTTTCTCTGCGTGATAAACTTAGAAATGAGTATATCCGCAGTAGAACCACAGTAACCGACATAGCCCAACAGATTAGTAAGCTGAAGTGGCAGTGAGCCAGCCATATAGTTCGAAGAACCGACAACCGATGGGGAAGAAAGGTTCTTGAGTGGCAGCCTCGTACCGGTAGGCGAAGTGTAGGGCGACCCCCACGTGATGGAGTGACGACCTGGTAAGACATGCATGAGGTCGATGGATGCAGGTGGCTCAGGACCGTGCTTTGTGGCATTCCTTGGGGCGAGGCCTAAGTTCAGCAGTGGACTGTGAAGGGCTGTAATGATGATGATAATGATGATCTCCTGTTAACCGTGTAGTGGCGGTGTAAGAATATCCACTACCCCATATCATCCCGTGGGTGTCGTAAGAGGCGGCTGAGGGAAACAAATCAGGCGATGGGCTGCAGCGACTTCTTAATAACGACTAAAATAAATAAACTACGGTTGCCATCCCGTTCGCCAAGCGTGGCAACTATGGCAAATACTCCTCTGAGACACAATTGGGGGGAGCCCTATGTTCAGCAGTGGACTTTAATAGGCTGTAATGGATGGATGTATAGAAGATAATCTACCAGGAGCACATGACCCACTGAGAGGTGAAATTTTCAAATCAACAGTAACATTACAACTATGGCAAATATCCCCCCTAGGAGGCAATCTATAAAGGAGGCCTATGTTCAACAGTGGAATTTAATAGGCTGTAATGGTATTTTTACATTAGGTTTATATTACAGGTGACAACCGAACGAAGAAGCGTTTGACGCGTCCGCTGAACAAGTTCCAGGACCTGGCGGCGTTCGCCGGTCACCAGGCTCACCGCGTCCACGTCTCTCCGCAGCTGGTGCTCGCCGCGTTCCAGTTCCTCAACACTAGTAGGTTCATTTTGACTTGAATGTCACACCATATTTACGTGGAAAAGTCACGCTGTAGTAGTATCATGGTTGTAGCACGAATCGGTCGACTCGACCGGGGAAGGTTCCCTTGTTGATTCATAATCGATGATAGATGATAATCTCTATGGGCCACATTACTACCTTAACATAAATTGGGCTTGGTTATATAACTGTCATACAAGTATTTACTCGTGTTAGAGCCACGCTACAGTTATATTAGTTGTAGAATGGGTCGGCTGAAACGTGCAATGACCACGCTCTCACAGAATACCAGCGTAAAATAGCAGCTTAATCCTGTTGTGTTTCGCATGGTGAGTGTAGAGAACCGGAGACCCTTTTTACTGGAAACGAGGCATTCCATCTTAGTCTTCAGGGGTGGCATATTGATTCTTAGTTAGAGATAAATGCAGATGTCAATGGGCAATACCATCACGTAGACGGTGTGATTTTTTCATTTCATAGAAATTTACTGAACCAAGTTTCCTTGATACTTTTCTGAAGTCCTACCCTCAGTTTGTTCTAGACGTCAATAAATTATTGTAGAAGTCAGAATATCCACTGCCCCACATCGTCTCGAGAATGTCGAAGGAGGAGACAGAATTAAACTGAAACAGAAAATGTGTAGCGGCATCTTCCTGATAGCAACTTAAAATTATAATTAAAAACTGCGGTTGCCAACCCGCTTGCCAAGCGTAGCAACTATGGCAAAATCAACCTTATGAGGCAATCTATGTGGGAGGCCTATGTTCAGCAGTTTACTTTAATAGGCTGTAATGGATGGATGTATAGAAGATAATCTACCAGGAGCACATGACCCAGTGAGAGGTGAAATTTTCAAATCAACAGTAACATTACAAACATGATAAATATCCACCTATGAGACAATTTATGGAGGAGGCCTATGTTCAGCAGTGGACTTTAATAGGCTGTAATGGATGGATGTATAGAAGATAATCTACCAGGAGCACATGACCCACTGAGAGGTGAAATTTTCAAATCAACAGTAACATTACAAACATGATAAATATCCACCTATGAGACAATTTATGGAGGAGGCCTATGTTCAGCAGTGGACTTTAATAGGCTGTAATGGATGGATGTATAGCAGATAATCTACCAGGAGCACATGACGCACTGAGAGGTGCCATTTTCAAATCAACAATAACATTACAACTATGGCAAATATCTCCCCTACAAGGCAATCTAAGTTGAAGGCCTATGTTCATCAGTGGACTTTAATAGGCTGTAACGGTATCGGTAACTTTCCTTGATACTTTTCTGAAGTCCTACCCTCAATTCGCGTACACAGTCACAGATAAGCGTTCCCTAAAATTATTAAATTTCAGGCGTGGACCCATTCCGTCCGGAGATGATCTCGGAGACCGTGCTCCGCAGACTCCTCAAGCAAGATGTCATCCAGCACATCAAGCTGCGAGGCGACGAAGAGAAGAACGACCCGAAGAGATACGTCTTCCAAGAGGGCAAGCCGGTGAGTCATGTTATTTATAACATTTATGCCCAAATACTCAAATCCTACTAATTTTAAGCCGCTGTTAAGGCTCGTGCTGTCTCTGTCACTTAGTCAATGTGACTGTGACACTACGAGACCTAACAACATCTGAAAATTGAATAGGCGTTTTAGTATTTGGCCATTAATAAACAAACAAGCTGTAAGAGAACCATCCAATTGTTTCCAAACCCATTGGTTTCGTGAAAATTAAGGCAAACAGACAAAATTAGTGAATTTTTATCCTGGAAGTAGATAGGTGCAGGTGTCTCAGGACCGTGCTTCCATTTTTTCCTTGGGGGAGGCCTATGTTCACCAGTGGTTGTGAATGGCTGTAATGACGTTGATGATGATGTGCATTTGATAATCTATAACAATTAAATTGTTTATGTTATGAAGGTATATATTTAATTTTTGTCTCAAGTAATTTCTATGTAGTACTTTCTAGTACTTCGAGGGAGATCTATTTCAGTGAAAACGAGATATCTCATGTTGGTCCTCAGGGGTGACAACGCATCTGCATTTTGATTTTCGATCGAAGATTGAGGTAGCTGTCAATGGATTACAGCATTCATTTACAATCAGGTTGACTGTGTGCTTGTTTGTCATTCATAAAGCGCATTACGGTATATTTACTTTCGCGCAGTAAAACTTCTATTTAATCTTAATTTAATCTCAATAATTTTTCGTTTTCCAGGTGGACTACTTCGTGCTGATCCTCGAGGGTCGCGTGGAGGTGACGGTGGGCCGCGAGAACCTCGTCTTCGAAGCTGGACCCTTCACGTACTTCGGGGTGCAGGCGTTGACCCAGAACGTGGGACTCGGTGAGTAGGGCTCCACGGTTAAGGGTCCAGTCCCTAAAATCAAGCCAACAAAGAAGTTAAAATATTAAAAACAATGAGGACTAATAATCTTACGCCCACCAGATGTCGCTAGTTGGAACTGAGGTGATTTATTTGTTATACATACACGTGTAATTATCATTGAAAATGTGATTTAATTATAATTTTTTTTCGGTTTCCAGTGTATGTACACAAAACAATGCTTCAGTGCTGTATTCTTTAATTTTGTTTTACACATTTTTTAACTGTTTTTAATTTTTCTATTATTGATATTAGGAATATCTTTAGATTGTTTTATACATTTCTTATATAATTAATGTAAAACCTAACTAATATTTTTGAAAGAAACATTTATCTTTACACTTTTTTACAAATTAACTTTCCCCGCCCTGAAAACTGTCAAATTAACACCTTATGTTTAGGTGGCGCCGCTCCGATGAAAAAACCGTGGATACTCTTATTATGAGACTATACGAGTTGTTGATAACCGCCTGACAATGCTTTTTTGTTGCAGCGGAGTCTCCCGCACCCTCGACCCTGGGCTCTCTCCAGAACCTGAACATGGACTCGATGCTGCGTCACACCTTCGTGCCGGACTATTCGGTGCGAGCGATCGCGGACCTCTACTACCTCACCATCAAGCGGTAATATACCTTACCGTGACCGTTACAGCCTATTAACCGCAACCTCAAGGGTTGACAACCGCACTTTTTTTATTTTTAGTCGTTATTAAGAAGACCCTGCTGCCCATCTCCTGGTTTATTTCCCTCTGTCGTCTCTTACGACAACCCACGGGACAATATGAGTTAGTGGATATTCTTACACCGTTATGTACCTATTATTCGAGGCGCACGCACACTAACACGAAATGAATAGAATAGAATAAAATATTTTTTATTCAATATACATTACATGTGTAATTCTTATTGAAAGTCATTTTATACTTTACCACTGGTTCGAAAAAAAACCCTCTGTCCTGGGAAGAACCAGCAAGAAACCCATCGGAACTTTTTTTTAAAAATAAATTTTACAATATAAATGTTTACGAACTATTTACAACATTTATTTTAGAAACTGCTTGGAAGCGACCACCTCATTCCCAGGGGTTATTATCAACCATGTGTACGTGCACGGATAACCACAACCAAAGTCAACACTTCATCGTGAAATATAATAACTATACTACACAGAGAGTCTTACTTAGATATATAAAGTGTAGTACACATACATATATACATATTACATATACATACACATACTACATTTGTTCACTGAATAGTTATTTGAAATTTTAATAACAACAAAAAATTTAAACTTTTTGTAGTTATTAAAAATACACGTAAATAAGGTTACTACATTTATTTGAAAATATCCGAAATTGAATGTGATTTATGGGCAACGACTGCAGTGTACGCGCGCTCGTGTGTGTACGAGTCAATGCACGAAGCTTTTGTCTACTATTTACTTCCATAATAACACGCTCGCTAATTTGATAACTTCATAATAAATAATAATGAATAAAATTAAATATATATATATATATAGAATAGAATAGAATAGAATGATTTTTATTCAATATGGATTATTACATAATACTTATTGAAAGTCATTATTTTATTTACTACTGGTTCGGAAAATACCTCTGTCCTGGGAAGAACCAGCAAGAAACCCAGCGGGACTTTTTTTTTTAAACATAATTTCACTTAACAATAATTTTGATTATACAATTTTAAATGAATTTTCATAGAACATATATATATATATATATATATATATATATATATAATTTACATTTCAGCGACGTAACCGATGACTGTCTTTATTATGGCGTATTTAAAAAAATTTAATCAAGTATTTACAATTATTAACAATTTCAAACGATTAACAATTAACTTAAAATAATACTGACCATTCACAAAAGTGTATTCAAGGTAGAAAAACGTTATTATTAAGTGCTTGCACACGTTGCTAATGAAATGGGTGATATCCAGAAGAATTCAGTAGTTTTCATACGTACTGGCAAACTCTGAACTCGAGTTGCATAATTGGTGCTAGCGCGGGGGTTTCGCTCGAAAAACTCGTTCACTGCGTTTTCGACAGCAGGGCTTATTACTGAATGATCACCTCGAGCACTTCCATGTGACGGAGTGATGAAATGTCCAAAGTATAACAACATTTAGTTAGCTGCAAAAAATGTTCTCCGATTGGATGGTACACATGCGTTAATTCCTTGACTTTGCAAACGCGATAAAGACTCACTTTCGTATAATCTTTGCGCACCACATAAACTTTCATTGCTTAAAATTTAACACCGTAGCATATCATAGTATTCGCGGTTTGAATATTTTCGTCGCGAAATTAAACCTACGAAATTTAAAAAATAGAACACTGGTAAGCAAAAAGGCCACGGTTAAACGTACAATGTCCGCCGGGTGAACGTACCTAGTAGTGTAACGGCTTACGAAAGGGGAAGTGCGGGGAGACGTTTCCGAGTCAAAGCAACTATTAGATACCTAAATCTGTAATCTAGCACGAGCGTACAATTGGCCGAACGCTATCGACTTTTTCCGTATTTAACACTCCCTTACAAATGTATGCGTGGTGATAAAATAGTAGGCGTTGTCATTCAGAACTATATAGACAATCGGTTAAAATAATGCATTTCCACACATTTTGAATATAAAAGATAAAAAGGACAATAGTTTTGAGTTTTATTTTTTTCTTATTTATTTATTTCGCCATTCGCTTATATTACCTATTCTGAACCTTTTCTGCAAATTTGGCCGATTATTGCAAAATAACCCTGTATACTATACCCATATCAAATATCTATATCAATTGCTAAACGATAGTTAATAATAAATTGTACACTGTGAGTAATAAATTGTACTCTAAAGATCGTGGATTCGAATCCGCCTTTCGACCACTGTCGTGAACCACTTCTAACTCAAGCTTTTTAAGCTACCAGTAGCACTTAGTAACTACCAGTAGTGGTTAAAGGGAACATTAGCAATGTGAATAGTATTGCCAATATATTTTTATTAAATAAAAAAGAAAAAAAAGAATATCTACTCCTCCATAATAGCAAGTGGGTATAGCAAGAGGTGACTGAGGGAAACAAATCAGGAAATTACATTAATAAATAACTGTGGCTAGGTACCACCTATGAGACAATCTATGGGGTAGGTATATATGTTCAGCAGTGGACTTTAATATGCTGTAATGGATGGATGTGTAGAAGATAATCTACCAGGAGCACATGACCCACTGAGAGGTGAAATTTACAAATCAACAGTAACATTTCAACTATGGCAAATATCCCCCCTATGAGGCAATCTATGGGGGAGGCCTACTTTCAGCAAGTAGACTTTATAATAGGCTGTAATGATGACTGTGATGATGATGACTGCAAATATGGCGTGAAACGCATAGCGCCACCAGCCTGCTTGTACATACGACCGTACTAAATTTGTTTCTTTATCCACAGATCCCTGTACTTAGCAGCCAAACGTGCCACCCTGATGGAGAAGGGGGCCCTCAACAAAGGGGGGACCAACGAGCAAATCGAGCCCGAGGTTGACAAGGTGAGTCTCTCCTTCAATCAGCAATTCTTTTATATCTGCAAGTATGACAATCGAGCGCACAGTTCACCTGATGTTAAATTAATGCTGTGGTCCATAGACAGCTACGTTGATTAAGGTGCAATACGTAGATGCGTTGTCACCAGTGTCACTAAGATGGAATGCCTCTTTTCCAGTAAAAAGGGTCTCCGGTTCTCTACACTCACCATACGAAACACGGCAGCGTTAAGCTGGCAATTCACGCTGGTATTCTGTGAAAGCGTGGTCTTTCGAGCCGACCTATTCGTGCTACAACCATAGTATAGCTGTAACATGACTCTGCCACGTATAGTGCGTGTGAGTGAGTGGCGTATTTTAATATCTAAACAATAATTTTCAGCTTCTGAGGGAAGGCGACAAAATGGAAGAAATCCCTGAAATAGAGAAGCCACCAAGACAGGTAATTATTCCTTTTATATGTTTTTTTTTTAATTACATTACTAGCGATCTGTCCCGGCTTCGTAGGGGTGATATCTGGATTTTACAACAGCGCCATCTACCGGGTCCCAGAATGCTTTCGCGCAAGTGCAAGCTATAAGTTGACAAAGTTTTAGCGCAACCTGATGAACGGTATGGTAACGCATAAAATACGAACAAACAAATATTAATTTTTATATATTAGACTAAGGCCTGATTTTTCTTTTTTTTTTTTCTCTTTATTTGGATCACCTACAGATGATACACAATACTAACAAAAATATAACTCAACACTGCGACTACATGCTACGTGTTCATCTCACAGGTAACAACAACTTACACAAATAGCGAAGTGATTTTTATTAAAAAAGAAAAAAGGAAACAGATATGCTAATAAATATACACGAAAAACCAGATTTGGTATAGCTTCAGTTTGTGGATTTAATGCTTTGTCTATGTATATAATATTAATATTTTTAATATTTTATTTTAAACAACGATATGATAAAGTATTTCGATTGACAATGACGATAACAAGTCGCTAAAGTCAAAACAGTAATTAAAAATACCCGACTGCTTAAAAAAGTGTACTGAAAGGGGAAAAGTTTTATATCCTGTGGTAATTTTACAACTAAGGCGATTATAATGTCATGTCATATGTTAAGATCCATCGAGCAATATGTTTAAAAAAAGCATCATCAGAAATATGTTTAAAAAAAGTCCCGCTGGGTTTCTTGCTGGTTCTTCCCAGGACAGAGGTATTTTCCGAACCAGTGGTTAATAAATAAAACCATGTTAGTGGTTAATAACAAATAATCAATGTTGAATAATAAAATAAATAATTAAAAAAAATCAAAAACCCGACTGCAAAAAGACAATTTAAAAGTAACGCACTAAAAAGATCGAAATTGTTACTTATTCATATGATAGCACGAAAGTCGAACACAAACATACCTTTTAACTTATTTATTATTCCTAATTAAATTTAAACATATATATATATATACTAGCTGACCAGGCAGACGTCGTTCTGCCCTTTCCGACGACCATTTACTTTCCTAAAATAACTCCTGAAATTAGCAATTAAAAAACGACTTTGTCCTATAAAAATCCTTAAATTACCAATAAACAATATTGAGGGTCATTTATCGGGATAAAAACTCTCCTATCTCTCAAGTTGGACCAAACTGCACACAGTGTGCAAACTTTCATTGAAATCAGTTCAGTAGTTTAGGAGTTCATCGCGGATAAACAACGTGACACGTAAATTTTATGTATAAAGATATACATTCAGTATTTCAAACAAAATCAACAAAAGTTCTGGAGTACTGAACAAAGAGGTTATTTCGCCGACACAATTCCGCGTTAAAATAGAATGCCAACACGTAATTTTTATATATAAAGATATATATATATATATATCTTTGTAATTCCCTTTTAATTTACTTTATTTTCATACTCTATTCGATAAGTTTGGTATTTTTTTTTATTAACGTATTACTATTTCGCGCCAAAAATCCGCCTTTTTACTTTTTTCAAACAGCTATTTATGGACACTTGGGTTTATAAGACGAATAAAACGATACCTTAATTGTCGAAATCCTTCCAGCCGTTTGGAAGATGCGAGGTAATAAAGAAACTTACAAACATACACTCGAAAAATAACAATTACAGTGCATTTCTAAGTGCTCGTGTAACTTGTGAAATAGATATGCTAACATCCGATAGATGCTGCTGTAGTTAGTTTATTAACAAATTCTATATTTGTGTACCAAAATGACGTATATTTACAATTTAATATGTAGAATGCAAAGATAAATAAATATAAACACATAATTAATAGAATGAGCGTTACTTTGCGGAAATCCATTGTATTAAATCTTGAGTTTTGTTCTTCGCATCTGTAAGCTATTCTCAAAAATGGTTTATTTTGCGTATGTCAGAAGTGTTTTGGAATATGCTAGTTCGATATGGTCTCCACAGTACAGTGTTTACAAAGGCCGCCTTGAGCGTATTCAAAAAATATTTGTTAATCACCTTAACTTTCGCTGTCGGAATAAAATCGATACTTACACAGACAGTTGCACTGTGCACGATCTCTTATCTCTGGGACACAGGCGTGTTTTGTTTGACATGGCTTTGATATATGATGTAATAAACAGTAATATTGACTGTCCATATCTAGTCTCAAGAATCACCTTTCGTACTCCAAAATTCCGCACCCGCAATACTACATTGTTACAGACTCCCTGGCATCATTCAAGCTACTGTCAAAACTCTGTTCTTTCGCGGCTCGCTCGTACGTCTATAATGCACAATTTGGACACATTGACCTCTTTGCGAAATCTAAACTCATGTTCAAAGATTACATCAAGAAAACTATTAAGAAATAAAGCAGTTGAAGTTATTCCCTCTTCTATTTTTTCTATATGTATTTTTGAGGCTACTAATATAAATATAAGTACTTAAGTTATTTTATTTAATATATATTATAATTAATTAATTATAATACATAAGTAAAATATCATTCTACCTGACTCACTCTCCTGGTCTGTAGATGGCGAGGTTCTTCAAATTGGAACACAGTGTTCAAATGCTAAAATCCTGGAAAATATTGTAGTATTCCTAGGCACAAAAAAACCCTAACTTATTTAGATCTTTTAAAGTATAATTTGTTATTAAATTTGTGATATTAATTAAAATAATCTTTATGTCTGTCTTTACACGCTGCATTAAGAATTTGGAAGTTCCTACAAGATATTAGTTTTATACCAAGGACTGACGGTTGGTATTCGGTATTTTATACGTGAGCTTGGCAGTTTTATTTTTATTTATTTCGTTCTTTGTAATCCAACAATGTAATGTACATTGTTGGATGTGTGATCTTTTTATCATCATCATCATCATCATTACAGCCTTTCATAAGTCCACTGCTGAACATAGGCCTCCCCCAAGGAATGCCACAAAGCATGGTCCTGAGCCACCTGCATCCATCGACTTCCTGCACATCTCACCAGGTCGTCACTCCATCTAGTGGGGGTCGCCCTACACTTCGCCTACCGGTACGAGGCTGCCACTCGAGAACCTTTCTTCCCCATCGGTTGTCGGTTCTTCGAGCTATATGACCGGCCCACTGCCACTTCAGCTTACTAATCCGTTGGGCTATGTCGGTTACTGTGGTTCTACTGCGGATATACTAATTTCTAAGTTTATCACGCAGAGAAACTCCGAGCATATAGCCCTCTCCATAGCTCGCTGAGCGACCTTGAGCTTCCTCGGCCACATTATACGGCCAGCAGTGAAGGATCTTTTTATAGGAGAAATGAATTGATTTCAGTAACAACAAGCCGCCTAATCTCTATGTTACCGTTACAACCTATTAAAGCCCACTGCTGAACATAAGCGTCCACCAAAGATGGCCTCATATATTTCGGATATTTGCCACAGTTGCCACGCTCGGCAAGCGGGTTGGACACCGCAGTTTTTTATTTTTAGTCGTTATTAGGAAGACGCTGCTGCCCGTCTCCTGATTTGTTTCCCTCTGTCGCCTCTTACAGCACCTTTGTATATGTTTGAAGTTAATCATCGTTTCGCATATTTTGATATATAGAAGAATTGACAACCTATGACCAAGAAAGGTTCTCGAGTGGTAACTTCGTCCGGTATGCGAAGTGTAGGGCGAAACCCCCCTCCCCCCTCCCCCCAAGATGGAGTGACAACCTGGTAGGCGATGCAGGAAGTCTGTTTTTGGATTATAGGGAGGTTACATACTTACAAATAAAATATCTTTTCCAGTTTGTTTTTTTTTTATGTACTTTTTATAAAAAAATAATATGGTTATTATAGATTAATGGTTTACTATATTTTCCTTCACAGTTTATACCGGCGTCTTCCAGTCTCCTAACTAACTCTACATTCAAAAAGGTAGAAAAAGACCGTAGCAACCCAGAAGAAGAGAAGCTGCTGAAAAAGTAGAAAAATCGACATGGCAACACCGCGCCGACAATGACAAATACCGAGTTCAATGCTACTTAGCTAAGATAATTTAACATTTAGATTATTTACGATTAACATGTTTTAGGTAGAAGTGTATTTGAGCGTTCACTATAAGTAAATTTTGTTAAAAAAATAGTTTATATTATTTAACTGCGCATTTGTCGTGAATTTTAACCTAGCTTAGTCTGTAGGTACTGTACTTATTGCCTCTAGATACACAATCAGTGACAAAAATGTCCTTACCGAATGAGCGCCCACTCGAACATTTGGGTGCGCTTTTAATCTAGTTACATTCGAATGCTCCGACGGTAAACATGCCACAGTGCTCGTTTAAAAAGTGTAAAAATCACACATCCAGGACACTGAAAAATAATATTATCATTATTTAATTGTTATTACTGTATTGTAAATACTGATATTTTGTCAAGAAATCATCGTAAAAACATATTCTAAATTAATAACTCATTCCTTGTTCAAGCGATGAGCCTCTGTCGTAAAATTAGATTGTTTTTTATTGGCACTTTGTAATTCTGACTTAAAACATGCGTCTAAGGTTGAATTTGTTTTGATATAGTTTCACCAGCGAGTATCGGTCATAAAAATGTATTGCTTTTTTTACGTAGCTTTGTGAATACAACTTTAGACAATGCAATTAAGGTTGAATTTACATTAATGTATATTTATTTCAACTAGAATTACTTCAAAACAATTGGCGACAGTTTTTGGATAACTTTTGTATGGGATTGTGTAACTAGTTTTTTATTAGTGATCGAAGGATCGGAAGCATGACGACGCTTTTGCCGCCATTTTTGACATTAGTGACGTCTGCGACATTTTGTCCGCATATCGATATAATAATACCTGTGTCTATTAAACAATTCTCGAATTGTTTAATAGACACAGGTACATAACTCAGCGAAATTCCTGGCGTTAACTCAGTACTCAGGCGCTTACTGCGCCGGTTTATTGTGTTAACTCTAAAGTCCGCCAAAGCTGTATGTAAAATTTGTTAAGCTATCAACTCAGCCATCTTTCAAAATAATAAAAATAAATGTAGAAAAGAAAAAAATACCTATCACTATAACTCCTTTTTAATTTCAAGGAGTTGCAGTTTATAAAAATAATATAAAATGTGTTCAACAACACTCCTATGCATTCTGCGGGCAACTCAACACCTTAAGGGTGTTGCCACACCAATCGACCGATGGTAGAATTGATTAGTCGACGGCGATCGAGCCGCTTGATTATTCGAAAACCCGCCCGCTTCACTGACGCTATTTAAAATGTCGTCTAGATGAATTTAAGCGATCTCTGGCCCTAAAAAACAGTCGCATTCAGAGTTTTCTGCGTTTGCCTCCCTGTAATAATAAAGAACTGACCAACAATAACGCGTCCTCTTCTAACTACATTTTGAAAGATACTGATGATGGGCCCACAACCACATCGATTAATTTTCGATTGATGATTGAACAATGTTTAATCGACCAGTATCCGTCGATCAGCTGAAGCTACCACACCAATCGATCGACATCGATCGACGATCGATCGATTGGTGTGGTAACATCCTAACACCTTTTGAATAAATTATGAAGGAAGAGGGTTAGCACATGTCAAATTTTTTTAATCTGCGAAAATCATGCGCATCACAAATCATTTATTTCTATATTATTTACTAATACATTATAATGCAAAGCTGGAATTGTGTGCTGTTTTAATTTCTTTATCTTTAATGTCGTACAAAATGTCACGGTGCTTCCGCTGTTTTACTTTTATTAATTGTATTTTATTATAATATTCAGACGTTTTGTTTTTTTAATTCTGTCCTATAGTGATGGTATTTGTTATTCAATGAATTTCAAAGAAATTTATCGACACATTTTTAAATAGTTTCTAAGGATTTTGAAGGTGTCTACTGAATTTATTTGTAAAGCAAAACTAAAAACGCATTTCGTTGAATATAAAAATATAAAAGAAAAAATATACAATCCAGTTAGTTTGTATATTATATAGTAATTGGTTATTTATCATATTATAGATATTTCTTATTATATGTAAAAATAAACGTCACCAGATATTCGTGCCTTTACGTTAACACAGTGCCTTTTCATATAAATACTAGCGATCTACCCTGGCTTTTCACGGGTGATTTCTGGATCTCCACAACAACCTACCGGGTCCAATTGTGAATATGAACTACCCAGTGATTGAAACACACACAAAAAACTTTGGTCCAGCTGTTTAGGAGGATTTCAGTGACAAAAAACAGAACAATTATGTATTATATAAAGATATCCAAATGCCTTTATAAGTCGTGCCTTTACCTGGTGCTGTTTACACAATCCATTTTTAGAGTAATTTATAGTGAATTTATAATATAGCATATTATACATTACCACTCCACGGTTTTTATGTGTGATTTAAATGTAATTATATATTTTTAAAACCTTTATAACTGCCTCTATATCTTACAATATGTCCATATTTTAATGTTAGCACAAAATGGTTAATCGTAAAATATCCAATTATAGATGCTTACAAAAGAGCGAATGTTGATTTTATATTATACATAAAAAACTAAAGTAAAAATTGTTGTGGTTTTATTTATTACTAACCCGCCCCGGATCCGCCTGGTTGTACCAATTGGTGTAATTGGTTAATAGTTTTGGTTGTACCAAAATAGATAAGTATTACTGCAATGTGTATGTCTCTCAACCAGCTTTGGTCAATCGCTCGTCCCCGCTGCTTCAGCGCGACAACGCGGGACCTCATACCGCACTACAGACGGTCTCAAAGTTACAAGAGCTAGGGTTGGAAGCTCTCCGTCATCCGCCGTGCTCACCAGACCTTGCGTCAACAGACTTATAGTTTTGCCAGAATTTGGATAATTTTTAGTGGGAAAAAAATTCAATATAAAAAAAATGATTTTGAACAATTTGTTGCCTCACGTCCAATTGATTTCTTCAAAAAGGGCGTCAATAAACTTCCACTGCGTTCGATTACATCGATTGCATGGGTGATTACTATATAAAACCGTAGAGTACTTATACAAGTTTCTTATACTTAGTACAAGAACAGAAAAATCACTTGCTGATAGCAAACTTGCGAGTTCATACCTAGTTACAACGTTGCTAATGTTCATAATACTTTGCACACCTCGGATGCGTCCTTCGTTACAATAGCCTACCGATTGTTGCGGCGCGCGTATTAAATCAAAATGCACCTTACGTCCGCGGCGAGTTTGTATTACTTAGCCCGTTAAGCGCTTTTACTGTAAGGCCGCCCCTACTGTAGTGTCAGGTCACAAGAAAACAAATTAAATCCTTTGATATTAGTTAGCAGTAGAATAAACCGAGGTGTTATGCAATGTATTAGTAATTTGCTGAAAATACATAGCTGCACTAAAAGTATCGGGAATGGAATGTTTCCACTGTTCCTGTCATATTAAAATCTTTTTAATTGAAAAGTCCTTGGTTATTTAAAATTGAATACCTTTTATTTATTTAAAAAAAGATTCTCGGTATTGTCACAAGGTTTTGTCAAACTTGTTTAGTCGTTGAGAAAATGGAATTGACTCGAGAAAATTCAAGAGCGATGATTTATTGACTTTCGAAGTGGTTTAACACAAAAACAGTGTGTTGACCGGATGATTTCTGCATTTGGTGATGAAGCCCCATCCAAAACCACAATTTATCGCTGGTTTGCTGAATTTCAACGTGGACGTGTCAAGCAGTCACCCAAGAAAACGTTGATGCTGTCCGTAAGCTGATTGAGGAAGATCGTCATGTGACATGCCGCGAAATTCAGGCATCTTTAGACATTGCATGAGTCAAATACAAATAATCATGCATGAACAATTAGGTGTAAAAAAGTTGTTTTCCCGATGGATACCGCATTCGCTCTGTGAAGAGCAAAAAGCAGCTCGCGTTACTTGGTGCGTCAGAACTCTCGAAAGATTCGACGCAGGATCCTCAAATGCTGTATACAACATCGTATCAGGAAACGAATCCTGGATATACGCGTACGAACCCGAAACAGAAAACCAGTCACGAGTTTGGGTGTTCGAAAATGAGTTAAAGCCAACAAAAATTGTTCGTTCATGGAGTGTTGCAAAATAAATGGTGTATGCTAGCATTTGTTTGCCACAGGTCGTTTGTGAACTCCGTAAAGAGAACTGCAACCGCCGCATCATCCTCCATCACGACAATGCGAGTTCTCACACCGCACACAGAACAAAAGAGTTTTTAGAGCAAGAAAACATAGAATTATTAGACCATCCGCCGTACAGCCCCGACCTAAGCCCTAATGATATCTATACTTTCCCTAAAATAAAGAATAAATTGCGTGGACAGAGATTTTCATCACCTGAAGAAGCTGTGGACGCCTACAAAATGGCCATTTTGGAGACCCCAACTTCCGAATGGAATGGTTGCTTCAATGATTGGTTCCATCGCATGGAAAAATGTGTCAAATTTCGCGGAGAACTTCTTCTTCGAAACTTCGAAAAGCAATAAATACATTTTTAAATAGTAATGTTGTGTCACTTCCTTGATTCCCGAAATTTTCAGTGCCGCGCTCGTAAAATAGTCGTGTGTTTAAAGTGTTTAGAACAAAGATCTTGTTTCGGTCACCAACTCACAATTTTATACTTTTTAGCCATAATTTTAGTCTAGGATCAGTTTGAAACCTGTTAATTAATAAACATTTGATAATTATCTGTTGTCCACCATTTTGATTGTTAACAGATATGGGTAGAAAAGAACATCGACAACCCTATTGAATTTTATTGTTTATCAAAGCTCAATAATATAAAGCCAAACATGTTGGTAATTAAGATTAGTAACAAATTTTTAAGTACCTACCTATATTATTAAATAGTTGTAATTTGTTTAATATTATCTGTAAATTCACTTACTTATGAAATATTATCCCACTTACCTTTTGTTAATAAGTTTTACAAATTACGCACACACATTATTACTAGAAATAATTCTTATTATGTAACTAAAATCAAACATTATCAAACCACATAAAATACTTTAATGTTTTAGTTTAAAAGTTCAAAATACAGATATACGATTTAAATAACACAACAAACTTAGGCATATGTTCAGCGATAGATAGCAAAGCAAACCAGCGATAAATTGTGGTTTTGGATGGGGCTTCATCACAAAATGCAGAAATCATCGCTCTTGAATTTTCTCGAGTCAATTCCATTTTCTCAACGACTAAACAAGTTTGACAAAACCTTGTGACAAGACCGAGAATCTTTTTTTAAATAAATAAATGGTATTCGATTTTTAAAACCAAGGGGTTTTCAATTAAAAATATTTTAATATGACAGGAACAGTGGAAATACTCCATTCCCGATACTTTTAGTGCAGCCTCTGTATATAGAATTAGCAAGAATAAAAATGTTAAAAACCGTCCTGTAGTCATTTCCGTCACAACGCTGTGGAAAAAACACATGATTTTAAAAAACAAGTCAAAGCTGCCGCCAGGTGTCTATATAAAAGAAGATTATTCTAAAAAAGTGGAAGAGGAAAGAAAGAAAGGAAACATAGCTTTTCTAAAACATGACAAAATAATAATAAAGAAATCATCAGGAAAAAATAGAGAAAAAAGAAAAAGAGAAGGTCATGACTCACATAACTCGGCATCCCAGAAAAAAAAAAGACAATCCAGTTTCTACATTAGCCAAGGGAAACGAAATCCTAAAACCCAACATACTTAATTACGTTGAACGAGGAACATCTGTTTCAATATCAGAGATTCCAAAAAACCTGTAATGACCACCGGTACTCGAAATCAACTCAGAACAATTAATACCAAAAGTACACATACAACAACCGAAAAACGCACCCCAAGCCGGTTGGTCACCGTGGGGAAAGAAGACCACTACCCTTCAGCAAATGAAACACCTAAAGAAAAAGAGAAACCTAACAATATACACATAGACACCCTAAACACACTTTCATTGAGGACTGCAGAAAACTCTGGGTAATATTAAATGGGATATTCTTGGTATGAGTGAAGTAAGACGAACAGGAAACTGCATCGAAGAATATGACGACTACATTCTGTACTATATCGGTAAAACCAAGGGTCAGTATGGAGTGGGATTTATGGTAAAAAAACACCTAAAGAAACAAATCATAGAGTTCAAAGGCATATCCGAAAGAATAGCTTTACTAAATATGCAGCTACAAGTCTATAAAAACAAGTGGACTATAGTACAGATATACGCGCCAACAGAAGCAGCGGACGAAACAATGAAATACTATTTCTACAACCAACTTACAACTACACTAGAAACTGCCCATAAAAACGTTATCGTCATGGGAGACTTCAATGGGAAAATAGGTAAACAAAAGCATGGTGAAGAGACAGTGATAGGAAATTATTGCATAGGAAAAAGAAGCAAGAACGGCAAGAGAATTATAAATTTGGCTCTGGAGAATAACCATACTAAATAGTGTTTTCAAGAAAAGTAAACCAAGAAGTGGACTTGGATATCGCCGGATGGAACTTACCGAAATGAAATTGACTTTATAACTAGTAATCAACCTAAGTTTTTCCAAGATGTTAGCGTAATAAATAATTTCAATTTCAATAGCAACCATCGTATGGTCAGAGCAGTACTATTTGACAAACAACAAAAGAAACAACGTAAACACTTTCATCAGTGAAAATAACTGCACGACTGATACAACGTCTCAAAGCAACATAACAACCAGAGAAATAGACAAAACACACGAAATTTACAACATATAAACTAGGGATATTTATAGAAAGAAGAACAAATCAATAAAAAACAAAAATACACAGCTCGAAAACAATAGATCTCATTCAAAAACGGAAAGACCTTCTTAAAAATAGAAGAAATAAAACAACAATACAATAACATTCGAATAAAAGAATAAATTGTATCCAAAAACACATTACTAAAACAAGAGGTATCAATAAAGCACTTAAAGAATTTAAGAAACAACGCTATGGGTCCCGAAAATGAAAAGCAAAAACAACAAGGACAAAACAAGACGACAGCCAATTTTAAAGATTAAAATTCAACATAAACCTTGAAGACAAAACAGAAGAAATCCCTCCGATTCTTGAAAGGGAAGTTCAGCATGCAATAGAAACGCAAAAAAATGATAAAGCTGCTGGACCTGATCATATAACCGATGAGATGATGAAAGCTACATTGCCAGAAACAACAAAAAAAACTTACTAACTTGTTTAATCTTATTCTAAACACAGTATCAATACCTTCACAGTGGACAATAAGCACTATAATACTCATCTTTAAGAAAAGAGATAGATCAAACTATAGCCCAATAAGTCTCATGTCCAACATATACAAGGTGTTCTCAAAAATAATACTGAAACGCATCACCAAAAAACTTGAAGAACAACAATCAAGAGAACAGGCTGGATTCCCATCGGGATTCACAACAATTGATCACATACATGTGGTTAAACAGCTCATTGAAAAATGTCAAGAATACGATTATCCATTATACATGGCATTTGTGGACTATAACAAAGCGTTTGACTGCCTGGAACATCAGTACATTTGGGAAGCCCTGAAAAATCAAGGAATAGAAAATAAATATATAAGAATAATAAAAAATGTGTATTCCAACAGCAAAGCACGAATCAAACTAGAAGCAGAGGGGGAAATTTTACCAATACTCAGGGGAGTGAGGCAGGGAGACCTATTCTCACCAAAACTTTTTTCATCCGTGCTAGAGGAAGTCATCAGGAAAATGGAATGGGACAACATAGGGATTAACATAAATGGAACACATTTAAATCATTTAAGATTTGCAGATGACATAATACTTATAACAGATAACCCGGAAAGCCTTAAAAACATGCTTTTTTTAATATAGGATAAGGGTGACAAACAAGTGCACAGTCCACCTGATGGTAAGTGGTTGCTGCGGCCCATAGACATCTACATCTATCCTCTGTTACAAATCAAAATGTAGATGCGTTGTCACCCGTGAGGACTAAGATGGAATGCCTCATTTCCAGTAAAAAGGGCCTCCGGCCACCTGCACTCACCAAGCGAAACGCAGAGGTAAACGGCTACTTCACGCTGGTTTTCTGTGAGGTCGTGGTACCACCCCGGTTCGAGCCGCCCCATCCGTGCGACAGCAACAGCTGCCGCGTGGCTCTACCACTGTTGCTCCAAGATTTATCATACGGATACATCCAAGGTTTTTTCAAGGCAATTTTTAATATCATCCTTTGTACCTTTTCAAATGTCGTATTACTGTAAAAACTAAATGTCCGAGTTTATTTGAATAACGATTTTAATTAATAATAATAACAATCATTCTCGTAATCTGTTAAATCTCTAGGCGCTGTTATGTTTTTGATCACGTGTTCAAAGTATTGCGAGCACCTTACCTCGAAAGCGCCAGTGCTAACAGTACAAAATGGCGGCGATTTATGACGTCACATATTTCACTAGGGTAGTGCGGCAGTATACTGGCAGTCCATAACGGAACGAATTTTTTACCAGTGAGAGCACTGAGCAGTGCTCGCAGTGTATATCGGAACATAACTTGCAAGTTGCACGGTGCTTTCGGACGAATTTAGGCCTTTTGCACATTATTAGACACGGTCACTAGACAAGAAAAATGTCTCGTCTGGTTTATTGTGCACATTCATCCAAGACGTCTCATCGTCGGGTTGTAACCATCCACAGAAGATACACGAGTAGCAAATGGACAGGCGACAGCGTTTAATTGTGATTGAATACTTTTACCACAGAAGAAAACGCCGTAGTTGCATGTGTCATTCATCAGACTCTTGTATATAAATCGAGTAATGACGATAAGTTAATATTGTATTAAAACTATGATACAGCCTTACCTTTTTAATTTTTTTTCTACCAATGGCAAATCTTTAAATTTTTCTATTGACATAGAACATATTTCATCTCAGGCGAAGGTCTTAAAATTTCTAAATTTATACTCCACACAGGTTTGTCCCAAATTACCGGTCTTTCTTCTATAAGCGCTATTATATATATATATAAATGTTCAATATTTTTGTTCACTTTGGTACTCATGTTTGATAGTTAAATTTAAATAAAAATGAAATTTAAATGAAAGCTTGCTTGAAATTTAAACTTAAACTTATTTACATAGTTGAGTAGTCAAGATGTCTTGTGTAGGCGCTACATCGAACGTGCAGTCGACAAAATTACTAGAGTGAGTGTGTCTGATGCGACATAAGAAAAAATTTCTTGTAATATGTATGGTCTCATATTACAACCAATGCAACTGAATTCCATTTTTCCTTTCAACCTTTTATTTTTTTCATATTTCAGTAATTAAACTTTTTAGTTGTCAGGTCTAATAAAAAAAAAACAATACTTAAAAAATATTTATTACAACTTAATCTAATGATCACGTAGCGAGTTTGCTTATATCTTCATACTGTACCCCTTTGACTAGACGACCAGTCAAAAGTCCCTCTGATATCTGAAAAGGGAAATTATATACAAAGAATGTAAAAAAATCATGTCTAATAAAATATATTTTTTTAATAGAATGAGGGTGACAAACGAGCACACAGTCCACGTGATGGTAAGTGGTTGTTGTGGTCCATAGACATCTACATCTATCCTCGATTACGAATCAAATGCAGATGCGTTGTCAACCCTGAGGACTAAGAATGGAATGCCTCGTTTCCAGTAAAAAGGGTTTGCGGTTCTCTACACTCACCACACGAAACGCAGCAGCATTAAGCTGCTATTTTACGCTGGTATTCTGTGAGAGCGTGGTCCTTCCCCGGCCGAACCGACCCATTCGTACTACAATTATACCAGTAATATATATATATCAATAGCTAATCTTCATTGAGTCAGCTTGCCAGGACCGATATTAGATCTGGAGGACATTATCGTTACAGCTTATAAAAAGTCCAAGAACATAGGCCTCCCCATAGATAACTTCATGAGGAGGGGGGGGGAGATATTTGCCATAGTTGCCACGCTTGGCAATCGAGATGGCAATCACAGTTTTTTTTTCTAGTCATTATTAGGAAGACGCTGATGCCCATCTCCTGGTTTATTTCCCTCTGTAGCCTCTTAACATCCATGGGATGATATGGGGAAGTGGATATGCTTAAACTACCATTACACTGTAAAGTACGGTAAACTGGAGGACATTGTAGTTAAAGAAATAGAAACAAACTTTTATATTCAACTAGCTGTTCCCCGCGACATCGCCCGCGTGATGTTATTTTTCGCGGTACCCTAAAATAAAAGCAGCCCAAGTTACTCCTCATAACATCAACTATCTGCTAGTGTGTATAAATATTGACAAATATTGACATTAATATTTATACGATACTAACGTCACTAAATTGTTTTGCCTTCCCGCAACCCCTCCACTAACACTTAGACTTTATGGTATGGTATTAAAGTTCAAATTGACTTTTTAAGTATTATTACGAATCTTTTGTATGGCAATATAGAAAAGTGTTGTTTTTAGACTTTTTCAGGCAATTTTTTAAATTTTTCTCTCCGTAAGAACCAGCTTCGTACTTCAAGAAATATTATAAAAAAATAATTAGAGAAATCGGTTCAGCTGCTCTCGAGATTTGCGCTTAGCAACACATTCAGCGATTCATTTTTATATTACAAGATATCAGTATAAATAATACTTATTGAAAGTCACTCATTATGTTTAATTTACCACTGGTTCGGAAAATAGCGCTGTCCTGGGAAGAATCAGCAAGAAACTCAGCGGGACTTTTATTTAAAAGAATATTTTAAAAGTGAAAGCTTTTTTTAGTATAGTTGTGTGATTTCAAAGTCGATAAAACGAAAAATGGACACTAGACAGAGACAAACATATATATCTATAGGATTTAGCCTGCGAGAGAATGAGATAGAACACAGTATACAGTGTTGCCTATTTATCTGGGTCTCCTCTTTGTGTGGTGCTTTAAAGATGGTTTATAATTATAACTTTTTTTTAAATACAAATTATTAAATAAATAAAATTAACCATATAGAATAAAATATATAACAATATATATTTGCACGGATGATTTTTGGGTCTCGGCAACAGCGCCACCTACCAACTGTTTCCGGTTAACGAGATTGTACAACCAGTTCGTGCTGCCTGTGATGACCTATGGAACTGAGGCGTGGTCCTTCACTACTGGCCGGATGAGGAAGCTCAAGGTCGCTCAGCGAGCTATGGAGAGGGCTATGCTCAGTTTCTCTGCGTGATAAACTTAGAAATGAGGATATCCACAGTAGAACCACAATAACCGGATTAGTCTGCTGAAGTGGCAATGGGCCGGCCATATAGCTCGAAGAACCGACAACCGATGGGGAAAAAAGGAGTGGCGGCCTTATACCAACGCACGAAGTGTAGGGAGGCCCCCCACTAGATGGAGTACGACCTGGTAAGACATGCAGGAAGGATGAGAACCGTGCTTTGTGGCATTCCTTGGGGGAGGCCTATGTTCAGCAGTGGACTTGTGAAGGGCTGTAATGATGATGATGATGATGATTAAACATATAATATGTATGACTTCCTACCTCGACGTCGCAACAGTAGTTGTCGGTGTCAATATCCCTCAGCACTCCAATCTCTCCTCTGTACGCCCCGTTCACAAACCTCACCACACGCCCGGGTGAAGGTATCACTGTTTCCACATGGTTCTGAAATGAAGTTAAAGGTGATGATGGTTCGCGCATAAATAACAAACGATAACATCGGTTTGCAAGAGCGACAGAGAGATCCTCGATTAAGAATCAAAATTCAAATGCGTTGTCAACCCTGAGGACTAAGATAGAATGCCTCATTTCCAGTAAAAAGGGTCACGGTCAAAGACTCCAGTTCTCTACACTCACCATACGAAACACAGCAGCATTAAGCTGCTATTTTACGCTAGTATTCTGTGAGAGCGTGGTCCATACCCGGTCGAGCTGATCCATTCGTGCTACAACCATAATATAGCTGCAGCGTGGCTCTACCGCGTATAAATCTTAGGAATTTTGTCAACAATACACGACAGACTAAGACTGACCTGATCAAGTTTCAGTTTGACATTGTCATCTGTCAGTTTGACGTGCGCCGCGTATTTGTCAACGAGACGTTCGACGACCGCTTTCCTCTTGTAAAACTTGTCGCCGAGGGACTTTGTGATGATTTTTACAACGATACCTTCAGTCAGCCAGTAGTCCTTTCTGAAAAATATTGTAGAATTATAGCTTGCATCTCATGTATAAGTTCTGGACTTATACATGAGATAGTTCAAGGTCACCTTTGTAGAACGCTCTAAAGAGTATGGTAATATCTACAAAGGATCCCTCAGAACCAAAGAGTATATAATCACTATGTTTAGTAAGAACCACAGTTGAGAGTGCTCAGAACAATTCTTTTTTACAGACTTCAAAAAGGAGACGGTACTCAATTCGACTGTATGTTTTTTTCAGTGTGTTACCTCATAACGTTTTTCTGGGTGAACCGATTTCGATGATTCTTTTTTTTTATTTGAAAGATGGTGCTTATCATTTGGTCCCATATAAATTTGACCAACAGTTTTAGAGTTATTCTTAATAATTTGTATTGAGGTCGGTTAGCGCTGCAAATCAATGAGGGCTAATAACTTTCTGCTCACCAGATGTCGCTAGTTGACACTGAGGTAACGATATTTGTTACAAAATGTTAGTTGAGTAGTTAGTTTTTAATAAAAGTTTATCAGTTTCTAGAGTATTATATTAATACTATAGATACTAATTAATGCTTTGCTCTTTAATTTTTTGGATAATTTTTAACTTTTTTTTAATTTTTCTACTTTTATGAATATCTGTGGTTTGGTTTATTTATTTTTAATCTTAATAATACAAAATATACATAATACTACAAAAATAAACATTAACTCTTGCATTTAACAAACAATTTGTTCGAATGACATTATTCGTACAAATTAACTTCCCCACTATGAAATCGTTCAAATATTATACCTCACTTTTAAGTGGCGCCGCCCTGGTGGCAGAAAAAGTCGTGGATATCCTCATTGATAAGCCAGTGTGCCACAGAGCCGTCAATATAATATATATAATACACAAGTACATATGAGAGAATATATTAATAAAACAATATCTCTCACCTATTTGCTTTCTCTTTCGCTCTTTCCTGCATTTGCATAATCTCATCTAGAGCCGACTGCTTGCTTTTGCATTCTTCTGTCCTCTTCTTCTTGCTGGAAGATTCTTCTTTGATTTTCGATGCTTGCAGTACTGATTTTGGGAGGCCTTCAGCTTTCTCTACAAGAAAGAATCAAAATATTACAAAAAAAAAAATTTAATTGGGTCTTCATAATGCTTATGGAGAGATAAAAGAGTCGTGGTGGCTCAGATGGTTGACGCTCGCTGTAAATTTCACAGTACGCGAGCAACCCGGGTATGATCCCCGCCGGCACCAATGAAGTTGTTAATTGCAATATTAAGTACTGATTTATCACGTGCTCCCCGGTGAAGGAAAACATCGTGAGGAAACATGCATGTCGGAGAAATAAGAAACAAAAATTCGAAGACATGTGAAGTTCGCGGCGGTCATTTCCTTGCCCTAAAAAGTTGCAGCCTATTTACGCCCCATTGCTGGGCACAGGCCTCCTCTCATTACTGAAAGGGTTTAATAAGCATACCTATTGCTTTTGTTATTGAACTTAGCACTATTTAAAAGTTATTAATGGAAGTCAATCAAATTTTCTGATTTTTTTTTCTTGTAAAAATTATCGTCTCTTTCTTTTTTTTTTCCATCAAAATTAAATGAAATGCTCCTCAGGCATGCACTTTTAGATTTTCCAAACTATATTGTATTACATGTGAACTTCCTTACGTTACTATCCGTTCAGGCCCATTTGAAAATCAGCACTGTTGTTTGGCATAAGCTGAGCGAGGTCCGTTTGCCTAACGTGCCACAACACACATGAGGAACATATTTGTTAACATACATATATACTTTTGTTAAATGGTATATCTGTTAAGTTATTGTTTTTTTTTAATTTTATTATATTATGTTCATTAATTGTTAGGTTTACTAATATTTATATTTAAGTGCCTGTTTATGTGTGTGGTGTGGCGTGTTCGCTATAAATGTCTCTTTATTAGTTCTATGTCTCGTTCATTCTTTATTTCGTACCATTAAGCAATCTGTGTGCTCGATTGTAGTGCCAGCAGTGCAGCAATGAAATTACTTCATTACCAAGCTGTCAAATCAACACAATTACACTCACCTTCGGTTTTCCTCTTCAAATTAATGTTGAGTGTGAGTTTCTCTTGGCTGTTCTCTCGTTTTAGTTCTGTGTACGAGGGCTCCTCAGCCTTGAACTCCTTCTTCCCTTTCTCCACTTGTTTCTGTATGAATTCTAACATTCTTTCCTAGAGCAAGAGTAGTTGATTTATATAATAATTGAATGCTAAGTTATCGATATATTACATATTTTCTAGGTGATTGGGATTCCATTTCTGCTACAAAATAGCCGTGCCTGCACTGCTATTCCATTCTTAAGGGTATAGAAAGCCAGTATAATTACAGATTATGAAGCTATATTTGTCCTCAGAGGTGATCACATCTGTGGCCTTCTTTGTCTGAAAGTAGCTGGTGTCCATGGACTGTAATAGCCACTTACCTTTAAGTTGAGTGTTTGTTTGTTTGTATTCCACAGCGGAAAACTAACCGTGTTGCTTTAGTGCATATTGAATCTCATCTGCTCAATACAATATGGTCTCGGGTTCAAACCCAGGGACCCATTTTTCTGTCAAGAAATTCTCAGTAACAGCCCAGTTTGGAAGTTGGTGATAGTTTATCCCATTTCTCAGAAAGCGCTTAAACCCGTTGGTCTTGAACATGATGTCTCTCCGGTTGTGTCGGTTTGCTTTCCCCACGAACCATAAGAGTGAAAGAAAAGAGATGTGGTGCTTGTACACACACTCATGCACTATCAAGAAGAAGGCATTTATTTGTTCCTTTAATGACACACAGTGGCAAAACTAGGAACTTACTTATATATTGAACTCCAACTATAATATTGTCTTGCACAAGATAGCAAATCTTTATTTTTACTAGCTGTCTATACACTTGAGACCTGAAGATAGCAGTGGCATCACTAAAGCTTGGCGGCAGACACAGTAATAGGAACTACAATTTGGACGCCTTGCCGTGCCGTGCCGTGCTCGTTTGTCAACCATATTCTATAAAAAAAAAACAAATGATAAAAATTAAAAGGGGGCTCCCCTACTAGAAACGTGTTTTACGATGGTACACTCACCATACGAAACACAGCAGCATTAAGCTGCTATTTTACGCTGGTATTCTGTGAGAGCGTAGTCCTTCCCTGGTCGAGCCAACCTATTTGTGCTATAACTATACTATTCACAGATCAGGGGCAACAGAAATGCACATTCTGTGAAAATTTCAACTGTCTACCTAATACGGGTCTTGAGATACAGCCCGCGGTACGACTTTCCATTGACGTCAGTGGAGTTTGGTGTTGATACGTATTTTTACAGAAAGATTATACTATTATAAGCACACACACAAAGTCTCAATATACGGAAACGCGTAATTTTTGAGAAAAGAATAATTGAAAATCAATTATTCTTGCAATGTTTATGTCTAATCTGCTAATAAACTGGCGCCATTTTGTAATGTCATTGTCGCCGTCAATAGGGATGTCGATTCTTTCCGAAAAAGGTCGATTTTTTAAATAGATTCGAATTGTAAGCTGATGTATCGATTCCCAAAAAATCGATTTCTAAAATATCGATATTTTTTTCATGTTTGCATTTATAATGTAAATATAAATCCATTTATGAGAAAAAAATCCCCTTCATCATAAAAAAATAAGGGGACTGATTCATAAGGATTTCTGTATCTATTTTGAGACTGCTACGTCTCCGGCGCTGCGGGAAGAGCAACCTCTATGCCTTAGCGTAACAAATCGCAGGCATCCCTCCTCGCCTCCGCAGCTTCGGCTTGTTGATCGCCTTCGGCGACCAGCCTCAGCCGTTCCGGCTCGTCCGATGCCTACGATTTGTTACAGCAGGCGGAGGCTGCTCCCCCTACGCGCCTCCGGCTCTATAAAACCACTCTAGGGATAGGACAGACTCGTACCAGGTGGAGTCGGGGTCAATCAATTCGGTTCTTTGACATAAGTTGAACCTAACCTATTTTATTTGTTATCTGCCCTAATAGGTACTGTTAAATAAAACAAATTTCAATAAGAGATCATTTATCATGGTATCTTTCTTGTTTTTCATAAAATGGGTTTATATTTACATTATAAATAAAGAAACATTAAAAAAATATAGATATTTTAGAAATCGATTTTTTGTGAACCGATACATCAGCTTACGATTTGAATCGATTTAAAAATCGACCTTTTTCGGAAAGAATCGACATCCCTATTGACGTCGACAGTGACATTACAAAATGGTGCCAGTTTATTAGCAGATTAGACATAAACATTGCAAGAATAATTGATTTTCAATTATTCTTTTCTCAAAAATTACGCGTTTCCGTATATTGAGACTTTGTGTGTGTGCTTATAATAGTGTAATCTTTCTGTAAAAATACGTATCAACACCAAACTCCACTGACGTCAATGGAAAGCTAAGCCCAGCCCGCTGATGGACGGACAGTGGAGCCTTAGTAATAGGGTCACATTGGTTACCCTTTAGGTACGGAACCCTAAAAAGCATCAAATTAGTAACTGAACTGGCAGATAATAAAAACATACCTGGTCATCCTTATCCATCTTCTCCTTCTTTGCTTTGGCCTCCTGTGCAGCGATCGCCGCTGGGTCCCTATCTATATACGCAACAAACCACCCCTTCTCTGTTTCGTCCACAACACATTTACCTTCTCTCCCTAACCACTTGACAAAGTCAGTCAGGGTTTCCCATTGTGTTGCATTCATGTGGAGATGGTCCCTACAACAGAGACATTAGACTGCATGAGAATTTGTAATTTTGTTTTACAAATCAGATCGGCCAGCCTACTCTCTACAGTATTGAGTTCTCGATAATTAAAATTTTATTCAAACTCAAGGTAATTTTGTATATTACTTATGAGGTGACCGGATGTGTCAGTCGGGAACACATGTCAAATGCTCTTTTATAAATTAGCATACTATAATACATAAAAATGGTATATATAAGATTCACTACTGGATAACTAATATTTATGGCAGTACTTTTTAAAGTATTTAAAGAAAAATACATATAAACTATGTCAAGAAGTTTATCATCATTCATCATCATCATTACAGCCCTTCACAAGTCCACTGCTGAACATAGGCCTCCCCCAAAGAATGCCACAAAACACGGTCCTGAGCCACCTGCATCCATCGACTTCCTGCATGTCTTACCAGGTCGTCACTCCATCTCGTGGGGGGACGCCCTACACTTCGCCTACCGGTACGAGGCTGCCACTCGAGAACCTTTCTTCCCCATCGGATGTCGGTTCTTCGAGCTATATGGCCGGCCCACTGCCACTTCAGCTTACTAATCCGTTGGGCTATGTCGGTCACTCTGGTTCTACTGCGGATATCCTCATTCCTAAGTTTATCACGCAGAGAAACTCCGAGCATAGCCCTCTCCATAGCTCGCTGAGCGACCTTGAGCTTCCTCATACGGCCAGCAGTGAAGGACCACGTCTCAGTTCCGTAAGTCATCACTGGCAACACGCACTGGTTGTACAATTTCGTTTTAAGGTTTTGAGGTATGTCTGACGAGAAGATGTGTCGTAGCTTCCCGAACGCTGCCCAGCCGAGTTGAATCCGTCGATTGACCTCTCGGTCGAAGAAGTTTATCATTACCGCCTATTAAATTCCATTGCAAAACATAGGTCTACCCCACTGATTGCCTCGTAGGGTAGATATCTGCCATAGCTTTAGCATCTGTCGCCTCTTACAACACCCATAGGGTATGGATATACATATAAGGTAGTACCTATATTCTTACACAGCCACTACATGGTAATTGATAAGAAATTAGACATTTTTTTATATTTACCTGTTAGAGATATAGTCTTGGTACACTTTATTGGCATTCACCCGTTTTGTGCCGAACTGACGACGTAGTAGCTCCAAGTAGCCATCGGAAAATTCCTTGGAGAACTGGTCTATGTATTTCGAAGCGTTGTCAGCAAACAGCAAAAGCTGCCGCTGGTGTGATTCAGACATTGTGTGGCATTTAAAACCGTTCTCATCACGACACTGTTTCTGGCACATCTGACAATACCATCTCAATTTTTGTAAGCCTTTAGCTTTAATCTTATTTGCTATATATTTAGGAGTGCCCTTTTCTGCTTTTCCACCCATTTTTAATAGCTTTTAATGCATATAAAATAGTTAATGTTGATTTTACTTGTCAGAATATGTACACTCATAGACTAATCAGATTTTTAGGATAAGTTTTATCTCCTAAAATGTAATTTGACTAGCAAAATAAAGCACAATTCTACATCGACAAATAAGTTGTTAGAAATTAGCAGATTAGAAAACATTTACTTCAAAGATGTTTTTCTTTGATTCACAGAACACTATACAACTTTATAATTTGTGCATACAACTTTATAATTTGTAATACTCTTTGCTTTGATTTACTTGAAAATGAAAAACATAGAGAAAAGTAATACATCAGGAACGATCAGGAATGATAAATAAAGACTCGTTTTCTTTTATAACTGGCTTTACAGCTCTGGCTCTGGGTCAGTGTTGCCAGACATTTTGAATGAACGATCGTACGATGGGTAAATAAAAAGTCGTATGCCCTAAGAAGGTCATTAAATAAAAATAGTACGTTTTTTAAACTTTGTTTTATTAAATTATACAAAAATAAAGAATTAAAAACACATTATTAATTTTATCTCCATATAAAATCTTACTGTTCGTATTATTTAACATTTCTCTTGATGGAGAAAAATCAACACAATGACCAAAGAGTTTTATATGTTGTTTGGCTAATAGCGTGCCGTTCACAGTTTCAATACTGAGCCTATTTCGGATTTTTGTTTTGAACTGAAGCACCGTTCACAATCCGCATTAGAGTGAGGAAGGCATAGCAAATCATCTAACACACATATTTCTGCCCAAAATTCGTCTGGCGGGAGAGTCATATCAACTTAATAAAGAACAGGGGTGATCTTCTCCACTCATCGTCCACATTTTGCATAATTTCTTCACTTACAATCCGAGGCACTATTTTCATTAGAGGGAACAAAGTATTTACTTTGTTTCTGTATGATTCTGATAAAGCATTGTTAGAAAATGTGAAAAGTCGTATGAATTGCGTACGCTTTTTATGTTACGATCGTACATGCATAAAACTCTTAAAAAATCGTATGAATACGATTTAAATCGTACATCTGGCAACACTGCTCTGGGCTCTAGTAGCTTTTCTGAGCCTGAAGTTACAATGTATAATAATAATTATCCTTCATGGTACACTGCTTCGCAATATGTTGATGCGTCAAATTGTGCAGCCCTTGAGTGATTTTGACGGCAACTTAAGCCAGCAGACAGCTGCCAGTTGGCGATGGTATCTCAAGGGGCCTAAGCAGACCGACACATTATCTTGAGAATCACATCACCATCAGAGCACTTGTTTCACCGTTTCCACTAATAGTTCACATGCGCAGACACTTAATACACAAAATCGTACCAATTTTACATATTAAAATCCACTTCAAACCATTATTTAAACAATAATACAAGAGCAGCAATCCTCCACCGTTCAAGTTGCCGCCAAAACCTTGAAAACTCGAAATAATAAACACACAAAGAGTAGGTACATGGAAAATATAGGTAATCATTACACAGAACTTTGCAGCAAAACACTGAATTATCCGGCATTTTTGTAGTACAACGATTTAGTCGCGCAACTAGATTTAGTCTAGTGAGCAATGCGGCTGCAACTAGTTTTGTTGTACGCATAGGGCCGCGTGGACTTATACTTTGACAGAGGAGAACGCCTGCTACATATACTCCCCTGCGATCCACCGGTGGCCTGTGTTGCTCTATGCCCAAAAAGTATAAAATCACTACCAAGGAGTATAAAATCACTACGTTTTAGCTTAATCCTTTTTTAATTTGGTAATAATTGCTAATGACGTGGACGTGACATGAAAGCAATAAATGAAAATTGTATGAGTTTTATTATCATTATTTTTTAGAATTTAATTTACAATTTTCTTAAAATGGATGTTATTTGGTCAAAAGATAAATTGTTTAAAATATTCAGTACAGTAAGTATATTTAAACAAAATTTTGTTAAGCCATTTACAACGATTTAGAGTTATAAAAACACGTTTAGGATATAAGATGATAAATAAAGTCGTAGATAGGGCTTCTTCATAAATAGGAGTAGAAGCCCAGAGCACTTAATGCTTGGGGGTTTTCTATAAAACCCAAAAATATTTAACTGTATACACCACTAGGTGACCCGCGCGGGGTTACTCCCGTGAAATCCGAGTATAATCAGTTGCCGTTACAGCTTATTAAAACACACTACAGGCCTCCCCCATTGATTGCTACATAGGAGGCATATTTGCCATAGTTGTAACGTTACTGTTGATTTGAAAATTTCACCTCTCAGTGCGTCATGCCCTCCTGGTAGATTATCTTCTATACATGCATCCATTACAGCCTATTAAAGTTCACTGTTGAACATAGGCCTCCACCATAGATTGCCTCATAGGGGGCATATTTGCCATAGATATTACGCTTGGCAAGCGGGTTGGAAACAGTTTTTATTTTTAGTAGTTATTAGGAAGACGCTGCTGCCTATCTCCTGATTAGTTTTCCTCGTTTCAATATTTTATTTACAAAATATACTCTATAATTATAAAGGTACTATAAATTGGTATAAAATACCAATGATCTATTTAATTTGTATGCATTTAAACTAAGGTTACTTTGTATTGTTGTATTCATTTATATCAAACTGTTTGTCCATCGCCCGCCATTCATGTAAACGTGGTAGAGCCACACTGCAGCTATATTACGTATGGTTGTAGTTCGAACGGGTCGGCTCGCCTGGGGAAGATACAGTTCAACACTGCTATGTTTCGTATGGTGAGTGTAGAGAACCTTGTGGAGACCTTTTTACTGGAAACGAGGAATTCCATCTTAATCCTCAGGGGTGACAACGGAACAGCGTTTTGATTCTTAATTGTAGTTTTTTAATTGCCACAGTATCCACTTACCATCAGGTGCACTGTGTGCTCGTTTGTCACCTTTATTCTATAAAAAAAATATAAACCCTAACCAGCGCATGGCACATTCCTTGAAAGGCCTATATACCAGTTGTGAATTCTAAAGGCTCGAGTGTTATATTAACTTTTTATATAGGATAAAATAGATAAATTAGGGCGTCCCCCCAAGGCGACGCACACCAGCTCGTCCCCGTTGGTGTGGAATGCAGCGCGCAAAGCGGCGATGGGGACCGCCACCCGTCACGCACAGCCCGACACGGCGGAAGGTGGAGGACGGAGTGCAGAGTTGGCACGTGGAATGTTAGAGGAGGCATGAGAGATAAGACGAATGAGTTGATCGAAATAATGAAAGAAAGAGAATTAGATGTCGTGTGTATGTCGGAGACCAAACGGAAGGGCAGTGGTACTGAAGAGCTCCCTGGCGGGGCGTTTGCTCTATGGTCCGGTACTAGATTTAGGGGTCTGTTCGCGGGTTGGCGCTACCGGACGACAGTGACAGAACCACAGTCGGTCTGTCGCATCCGAAGCTGGAAGCTTCAGGAAGCGGATACTAGGGACAAATATCATGCGAGGGTAGCCGAAAAGCTTGACACCATCGATGGCAGAAACGAATGTGTAGAAAGAACATGGCAGAACCTTAGGGATGGAATGGTAAGTGCAGCGGAAGAAGTGTGTGGAACAATAAAAAGAGGCAGTAGTAAAAGAAGAGATGCATGGTGGAATGATGAAGTGAAAGAAGCTGTAAAGAAGAAGAAGAAAGCATGGTTAGACTACTTGGCCTCTAGTAATGATAAGGATATGAGAGAGAAGATGAAAGAAAGATATAGGCTGCAGAAAGTTCACACGAAAGCATTGATTGAGGAAGTGCGTGAAAGGTGTAGAATGGAAGCGGACGAAAGGTTGTCGCACAACTTTAAGGAGAACTCCAAACTCTTCTAGAAAGAGGTTGGAAGGACCCGAAGTGGTGCGACGGCCTTAAGAATGAACAAAGTGCTTTCGAGAACTAATGACGTCCTCTCAGAAAAATCGGACGTCATGCAGCGATGAAGCGAATTTTATAGAGAAATGTATGCGTGTGATGATCTTAGTGAGGGATCCAGGGATGACGCCGTGACTGGTACGCCAGACCCGGACCTCGATGACACTGAGGTCATCAGTATGAAAGAGATTGAACGTGCGATTCGAAGTTTGAAATGTGGTAAGGCTGCGGGACTAGACAGAGTTACTGCTGAAATGGTCAAGTATGGTGGGCCTCGCGTCTGGGACAGCTTTCATCTGCTGTGCAATTTGTGCTGGCGGACGGGGGATGTCCCGGATGATTGGCGATCCGCAGTCATTGTGCCTTTATATAAAGGTAAAGGTTCACATTTTGACTGCGGGTGCTATCGGGCGATCAGCTTGACCAGTTTAGCAAGTAAAGTTTGCAAGATGCAAGAGAAATCGCAAAGATTTCTATGGGAGGCACAATGCGGATTTAGACCTGGAAGAGGATGCACGGATCAAATGTTTTCTCTCCGTATGATCACGGAAAAGCTTCTGGCTGCTAACCAGAAGATTTTCTGTGCTTTTGTGTATCTTGAGAAAGCATTTGATAAGGTTGTAAGGAAGAAAATGTGGGAACTGTTGCCGGGGTATGGTGTGGATGGTCGATTGCTAAGGGCTGTGCAGTCTCTTTACTGTAACTGTAAAGCCTGTGTGCGGGTAGGGCATGACCTGTCACCCATGTTTAGCGTCCAAACGGGCGTAAAACAGGGTTGTGTCATGTCTTCCTGGCTGTTCATACTGTATCTCGACAGCTGTTTACAAAAGCTGAAGGATAGCTGTTTGGGTGTGAAATTGGGTGACATAAAAGTAAATTGTCTGCTGTATGCTGATGATGCAGTGCTTATTGCACCAGCAGAGGCAGAACTGCAGGCATTAGTCACGTGTATGAAAGAGGAATGTGAAATTAAAGGTCTCCGTTTGAACGCTAATAAAACTAAGGTTCTGGTATTTGAAAGGGACGAAGAGAGAACGAAGTGTGAAATATGGGTAAATCAGGAATGTCTAGGACAGGTAAATGAAATTGTATACTTGGGGAGTGCTTTTAGCCGGGATGGAAGATGTGATTTAGATGTGGACAGGCGTGTCGCTGCCGGGAATAAAGTCAATGGTGCCCTAACTGCGTTAGTCAAAAGGCAAGGCGTAGTGAAGAGTGCACGCAGTGTTGGTACCGACTTTGTTATATGGCAGCGAAACCTGGGTATGTCAGAAGAAGCATAAAAGCAAGTTGAATGCAGTGGAGATGCGATCTCTTCGTAAAATGTGCGGCGTTACCATGGCCGACCGAAAGCGAAACGAAGAGATTCGCAATATGGCAGGTTTGAAAGATGACCTTATCACAAAAATTGATAAGGGCGTGCTTCGGTGGTTTGGGCACGTTGAGCGAATGAGTGAAGACCGAATGGTGAAGAAAATATATAGCGCGAAAGTTAATATTAAAAGGTGTCGAGGTAGACCGAGACTAACTTTCGAAGACCATGTGAGCAAATTGCTCGAAGAGGGTAGGGTCAAGAGTACTCGGATACCTAGACGTGCATGTATGAAGAAGATAATGAATCTGAAAGAAGCGAAAGAGGTATGTAAGGATCGTGACAATTGGCGATCTGTTCTCTCTGGCTACCCCGTCAGGGATTGTGCGTGAAGATAAGCTAAGCTAAGCTAAGCTATATAGGATAAGGGCGACAAACGAGCACACATTCCACCTGATGGTAAGTGGATGCTGTGGCCCATAGACATCTATATCTATCCTCGATTACGAATCAAAATGCAGATACGTTGTCATCCGTAAGGACTAAAGGATTGTGAGCCCAAAGAAATAAGATGGAATGCCTAGTTTCCAGTGAATAGGGTCTCCGGTTCCCTATACTCACCATACGAAACACAGCAGTGTTAAGCTGCTATTTTCTACTGGTATTCTGTGAGAGCTTGTACCTTCGCCGGGCGAGCCGACCCATTCGTGTTACAACTACAAAATAGCTGCAGCATGCTTCTACCACGTATAATTTACTTGTGTAGGAGTCCATTATGGTCCATGCGAATGCAACTGGGGACTCTGGTTCAGTTTCTGGGCCTTGTTGCCACATCTGCGGTGGCGATAGCGATTTACGACGCCTGGAAGAGACCTACGTGTGGAACGGGATCGAGGAACAGTACGACAGGATGCTATTCGAATGCTATGGCGTTAGGGTAAGATAAGATGGATTGTGTTAATTTATATTTAGCTTTTCCACATGGTAGAGCCAGCAACAGCACAAATGGCAATAGAGTAGCCTTCTATCGGGGAAGGCACTGGAGATGATCGATATAAGAAAAAACATCGATTTAGACATCGATGTTTTTGTTTTTATTTATTCTTTATTTCATTCCTTAATCAAAAATAATACAAAGGGCGGAATTAATGCCTGAGGCATTCTCTACCAGTCAACCAATCAAGTGGTGAGAATTTGAAGTAGGTGTAGCAATATAGAATAAAAACAAAATAAAAATGATAATTAATTACGTTATATATACATTTTACTATTATATACAATAAATAAACTATAAAAATATCTCCTATTTATACATGTATACATATATATACGTAAATTCATAAGCATACATATCAACATACATATATAAATAGTACATATTATAACAATGAATATATACGTCTAACAATATAAATAACATGGATGATTCATGTAAGCAATGTTTAAAAAAAAGAAAAAGAATGTGTGCTAGACATTCTATCATTTCTTTTGGCTAAATTTGGTCGAAGTAGCTCGCTGCTTTTTGGATTTTGCCTATCTTCGCGGGGCTACAGCACATGAGTAAAGAAGTCCTTACTCTTTACTCTGTGGCTACAGACCTGACACTATATACAGGGTTATTATTTAAAGAGTAGCCAAATTTTAAAATTACGTTCGAATATATAAATAATGATATACCGTTATTGCAGTTTTTGAAAATACGAATAAATAAGACTTCTAGTTTTATTTGAAATTATCCCAAATTGAATGTGATTTATGAGCAACAACGTTTTGTCTACCGATCGACCCTTACGAATGTGTGCGTGAGCAGTAGTCAGTCAGTCAAAATAATGCATTACCATGCATTTAGAATTTAAAAGATAAAAAGACAGAATTATTGAGAATTTTTTTCTGAACCTTCTCTGCAAATTGGGCCGGTTATTGCAAATTAACCCTGTATATACTTTTATAGAAATACGGTGTACCTGCAACGGAAAGTAGCGTGAAGGGAGCGAGACTTCCTTGCGATTGTAACTATACCCGTGGCAGTTCAGGGGCTAGGCGCTCGCTGTAAATTTCACACTACGCGAGCAACACGGGTTCCATCCCCGTCGGCACCAATGAAATTGTTAATTGCAATTTTAAGTGCTGATTTACCACGCGCTCAGGAAAACATCGTGACGAAACCTGCATGTCTGAGAAATTAATAAAAAAAATATATTTCGAACACATGTGAAGTTCGCGAACACGCATTGGTGCATCGTGGTGGACACTTCCTTACCGTAAACCCTCGCAGAAGTGAGGGGAGGCCTGTGCCCAGCGGTGGGACGTATATAGGCTGTAACTTTTTATCATGGAAGCGTTTTACAAAAATAAATTGCTCATAGACAAACCCTTCTTTTTAATATAATAATGTAACTTCATAATCATCACCCCGTAGAAGTTCACAGCTGGTTATCTTTTTAACCGAATTCAAAAAGAAGGAGGTACTCAATTCAACTGCATTTGTTTATTGTGTGTTACATCATAACTTTTTTCTAGATGAACCGATTTCGATGATTCTTATATTTGATAGCTGGTGCTTTTCATGTGGTCTTATATATCAAGGTCGGACCAGTAATTTTTTAGCTATCCCTAATAATTTATACCTATTGAAGTCGGTTGTGCAATTTTTTTTAATTTTACCACTCTTGTTACATAAAAGTAAGGTTAAGTTACAGCCTATATAACTGGAGGAGCCCATATTTAACCTTGAACAGTAGATATGTATGTATGCATCTTTATTCCAGGTACCGAAATCAGACTGTATGATATGTGATCACTGTATACATCAGCTGCGGAACGCGCAGAGGTTCAGACGTTTGGTTCAAGCCGCCTTTACCAAACCACCTGAAGAAAGTAGGTGTTAATATTTATTGAACATAAATTAGTTATACTTTTATTTCAAACTTAACTTATAATGTATATAATACAATTTTTTTTCGCTCGTTCGTATTAATAGATTTTAATATATATATATATATATATATATATATATATATATATATATATATATATATATATATATATATATATATATATATAAATACTAGCTCGCCAGGCAGACGTTGTTCTGCCCTTTCCGATAACCCTTCCTATAAAAGTCCTTAAATTCGCAATAAAAAATTTTGAGGGTCATTTAGCGGGATAAAAACTATCCTATCTCTCAAGTTGGACCAAAATACACACAGTGTGCAAAATTTCATTGAAATCAGTTCAGTAGTTTAGGAGTCCATCGCGGACAAACAATGTGACACGTAATTTTTATATATAAAGATATATATGTATATGAGTAGTATAGTTGTAGCACGAATGGGTCGGCTCGACCGGGGAAGCACCTCGCTCTCACAGAATACCAGCGTAAAATAGCAGCTTAACACTGTTGTGTTTAGTATGATCAGTGTAGAGAACCGGGAGACTCATTTTACTGGAAAAGAGGCATTACATCTTAGTCCTACCGGGTGACGACGCATCTACATTTTGATTCTTTATTGAGGATAAATGTGGATGTCTATGGGTCACAGCAACCACTTACCATCAGGTGGACTGTGCGCTCGTTTGTCATCCTATCCTATAAAAAAATATAGATGTCTTGAAGCAAGAGTGAATAGGCTTTTGTTTAGCCATGTCAATGCGCTTTAGCTTCTTGTATCACTATTCCCACAGATAATAGTAAAGCACTATCTAAAAATAGGTAAAAAATATGCTATTAATAGGTATTGACTCATTTTTTTTTACAAAAACTCTAATAATAACTTTATATATTCAGATTATTCTATTTGAGGTTAATATTTTTATATCTAGTAAAAATTATACAAATTTCGTAAATATAGTAATTGTAGGAGCAACGGATTTCCAGTCGAGGTCCCTGTAATCTTGAGACAGAACGTAGGTACAGTGTGTTTTTGTAGAATTAGTAAAATATACCAAATTCTTTAGAAGAAAAACTATCTTTTAAAACCAATAACCATATCTTTAACATGATATTGATTAGAATCTGGTATTTCATATCAAATGTGAGGTGGTGAATTTTAAGCTACCCAGTATTAAATAAACGGCAATTTAAGGGTGTTACCACACAAATTGATCGATTGTCGATTTCTATCATCTATGGTAGAATGGATTAGTCAACGTCGATCAAGGTGCTTGATTATTCGAAAACCCGCCCCGCTCCACTGACGCTACTTAAAATGTCGTCGATGAATTTAAGCTATCTCTGACCTTAAAAAGGGTCGCATCCAGAGTCTTCTGCGTTTGTATCTCCGTAATAATAATACGAGCAAGAGCGAACTGGCCAACAGTAACGCATCCTCTTTCTAATACATTTTGAAAAATATCGATGATGAGCCCACAACCATATCGATTAATTCTCGATCGACGTCGATCGATGATTGAACAACGTTTTGTCGGCCAGTATCCATCGGATCAGCTGCAGCTTCCACACCAACCGATCGACGGTCGATCGATTGGTGTGGTATAACCCTAACATGTATTTTTTTATTAAGAAGGAGTTACATAGATACATTTTTATTTTATACAGGCCCACTCAGAGACGGCTCTAAAATCAAAATCGTAAAAAGTTTATCAAGTACAAAAATCGGTATTGCAGTGCACTACACTAAGAAAAATTCAGTGAAAGAAATCAAACCTAAAGTAGCCATAGACAATCTGCAAAAGAAATGCGAATTAAGGCGGGAACGAAAGCGTCTGTTCAACACGCACGTTGAAACTAAAAAAGCGAATGTTGCCTGCACCATTTGTAATCATCGTTACCCAATGATTGTACCTTTTGACGGTATTAAGAAATTTGTCTGTTCTCGTTGTAAGAAAAATTCTGAAACGTATGGGATTTGTAGAAAATGTAATTTAAGAATGCCAATGAATTCAATGAACGAACATTTAAAGTCACATGCAAAAATAAAGCCCAAGGGAAAAAATAGGTAAGGTAGTAAGCATTTTATTAACTCCCCAGGAAAACAGAGGGGTGTTATATTTGTAGTGTGTATCTGTGTGTCTGTCTGTGGCATCACAGCTCCTGAACGGATGAACCGATTTTGATTGAGGTTTTTTTCTAAATGAGAGCATCCACGACTTTTTCTGCCACCAGGGCGGCGCCACTTAAAAGTGAGGTATATTTGTCAGATTTCATAGTGGAGAAGTCAATTTGTTCGGAAATTGTAAAGATTAATGTTTCTTTCTGTACTATTAGCTATATTTTATATTAAAATATTAAAAATAAATAAACCAAATCACAAATATTCATAAAAGTAAAAAAATTAAAAAAATGTGCAAAAAATTTAAGAGCAAACCACTTAGGCATTACTTTGTGTATTAATATAATACTCTAGTAACTGATAAACTTTTAAAAACTAACTTCTCAATTAAATGACATTGTGTAACAAAAAACTTTACCTCAGTGTTAACTAGCGACATCTGGTGAGCAGAAAATTATTAGCCCTCATTCGAGAAAGATGTCTTAATCGCGAGTGTTCTTAGGTATGTTTTAAGAAAATCTGTTCAACCGTTTGTTGATCATCAGCTCTATTTGTTTCGGTATATTTTTTTTGCGATAGAGGGAAACTGATACAGGAGATGGCAGTAGCATCTAACTGATAACAACTTAAAATTATAAAAAACTGCGGTTGTAATCCACTTGCCAAGCGTAGCAACTATGGCAAAATCCTCCCTATGAGGCAATCTATGTGAGAGGCCTATGTTTAGCAGTGGACTTTTATAGGCTATTTTAACGGTAAAGGATAATGATTTCTTATATTTATGGTTAACCGTGACATTGGGACGTCGAAAATCTCTGTCTCCAACACCCTCCACCCTCGTGGCAATGGGTGCTGTAGTGATCGAAACGTCGGGAATATAAAATAAGTTAATATACGCGATAAAATCCGTAAAACTAGTTTTATTTAAATGTGTAGTGTTCGCGTAAATATAAGAAATCATTAAGTTCTGCTTTTCATCATTCATAATGTAGTTTAGTCGTTTATTATTTATGAACCGAAAGTCAGTAAAGTCATTAATTACAGATTATCTAACTTCACTAAACCGCCAGTATTAAACAAAACAGTAAACTTGTCGAGAACTCAAACATTTGTGAAGTACCCAAAAAAGTATCAATGTAGCCAATGCGAAAAGAAATATATAGTTCCCCAACACCTTGCGCAACATATCGCCATTGTTCACGGCGATAGCTTGAATTGCACTTGTACTGTATGCGGGAAGGATATGAAAACGCGGGAAATGCTTGGCAAACACATGAGTACACACACAGGGCAGCCAATATATAAATGCAATATTTGTATGAAAATATTTAAGAGCCAGCGCAACCTTCAAGCTCATTATTTGACACATGAAAAGTACTAAATTTTGTCTATGGTTAGAAATAATGTATCAAATGCCTCCTTATACGATGCTAAATGAGACCTTCACATAGTAATTTTTTATACCTGACCTTAAAGAATGTTTAAAGCTCGTGCAGATAAAGAATGGGACTAGCAATGGCGGCTCGCCGAGCCTATACAGTCAGCATACACGGTACGTAAACGAAAGCGGTGTTTATAACGTTACATCGTAATGTTACAATGAACGATATTATATTAACTAAAACGTTATGTTAGTATATTGTTTTGTAGTATTTAGAAATGTTTAGTTTTTGGAAAAAACTGATGAATGTATTACAATCAATTGAATATACTATTGAATTTAAATTGAATATAAATATTGAAATATATCAATTAACAAATAATATTTATTCTTGGTAATTTAATAATACCTATATACTTCACAAAACAAAAGTATATTTAACATTTATGTCTTATTACTCGGGCCTGAAATCAGAAGCACAAAAACGCTTATCGCCGCTCATAAATGGCGTTATTTTTTGTGGTTATTATCGGCGCGTGTGAGTATAGACACGTACTAAGTATCATTTATTTTATTCTGTGGCATAGACATCGGCAATGTGCAAGCGAGAGGTTAATAAATGACACGCCATTTATAAACCCATTCTTTATCTGCGCGAGTAGTATTTTTAAATACTTTCGCATTTGTGATTAAATTTAAACGTACATCATTAATCTATTTAAATTCATTTGAAAGATTTTAGAATCTTAGAGACCTACCTACATAATTTTAAAAATGTGACCTTGTCTTACATGTGAGTAGGAGGAAATGCATTCGAGTATTTCAAATTTTTTGTTGGAAATAAAATATATTATTTACTTATATGTTTTATTTTAATTTTAAATACCTATATCTTTTACATCAGTTATCGTAATAGTTCGCTTATGTACATGTGTCTCCCGTTAAAGACGTGTATGTACTTATATTATGTCTTCATTGTGCACCAAATTACGGTGAATTTTACGTAACTCCTTTAGTCGAGTATAGACATGTGTCATTCATTAATTTCTAGTGACCCGATTTAAGTATTGATTCGTTTTACGAACCGGGTCAATCAGGTCGACATTTCGGATTTTCAGTATTCTGTGATCTGTGAGACCCGTTCAATTATGTCGTAAAATTGTAATTATGCGTTAAATTTTAGGTCTAGTTAATCGATAAAAAATGTAATTGCAATCATCAATACTTTGATGCGACCCGTGTCAAATGAATGAATCATTCATGATTGAAAACAAGTTGTGCAGAGAACACAGTTGTTTTCGACAATCTAACACTATGTCAACGTAATTTGAAGTTTATATACAGATAAGCCCGTAACTTTATATTTCGTATTTGCCTAGAAACAGTAAATGTCGTAAACAAAGATTTCTGTTTTTTTTTTTTATATGGGATTAGGGATCACAAACGAGTACACAGTGATGATAAATAGTTGCTGTAGCCCATAGACATCTACATCCATCCTCGTTTGCGAATGAAAATACAGATGTGTTGTCACCCATGAGTAAAAAGGGTCTCCGGTTCTCTACACTCACCATACGAAACACAGCAGTGTTAAGCAGCTATTTTACGCTGGTATTCTCTGAGAGCGTGGTCCTACCTCGGTCGAGCCGAACCATTCGTGCTACAACTATACTACTAACATAGTAATATAGCTGCAGCATGGCCCTACCACGTACAAAATTGTCGGTTGTAATGGATAGATGGATTTCTATCCAATTAGTTCACCTCACTCCCAACTAGCGACATCTGGATACATATTTGATGTAATATACACACAAATAACGAAGTAGTAAAAATAAAACCCATTAAAAATAATATTCTTTATTTGAATAATTTTTTAAATTTCTAATCTTGTTCCATGCCCTTAGGCAAACTTAGAGCAGGTTTTTCTTAGAGGCGGCGGCGCGATGCGAAGCGCCGCGACCGAACTCTTTGTTGTTGATAGTTCCTTCCTCAATCGCACAATGTCGATCTCAGCCTGCCGTTTACGCTAGAAATACACTGATGAATTTTTATTATTCTTTCTATTTCACAACATTTTTAGTGAGCCACGAAAATATTTGTATCGAAAACATCAGATTGCACGCTGCGAAAATGTGCATGCAATATGAATGGCTCGGCCCAAGCAGAAACGAACCACGTCCGCACAGAATACCTTTATATTTTATGTGTTATGGACCAAGTTATTAATAGGGTGATTCCCGGGCAATATGAATAAGGCCCAGTAACCCGAGTGTGTGTCCCGCTGGCACAAATGAAATTGTTAATTGCAATTTTAAGTGCTGATTTACCACGTGCTCGGCGGTGGAAGAAAACATCGTGAGGAAACCTGCATGTCTGAGATATAAGAAAAAAATATATTTCGAAGACATGTGAAGTTCGCCAACACGCATTGGGGCAGCGCGGTGGGCTATGCCTTACCCAGCTTGGGATGTATATAGGTACAACCTATCTTTTTATTACAGAGTAATAAAAAGATAGGTTAGTTTAGGTGTTTTGATGTCACATATTTAACACTTAAAAAGCAACGGTCGTTAAGTGTTTCATCAAAGGTATTTTTTCTCTGTAACGCAAAGGAAGGGATAACCTGTTACTGTTATTTGATACTGCAAGGTGGTTTTTCCTTTTATTCATATTTTTACACTTGCTAATTTTAGACAATGTTAATTTATTAATATTAAAAGTGATTAACATGGTTAGGTTAGGTTGTATCAAATTGCCCAACAATTAAGTGATCAGACAATGTGATAAATAATAAAGTTTAAATCAGTATTAATTACCTAGCCCGATATGACTTGTCATTATTCCTATAGCCCGCGCATTATAAATAGTGCCTTGATTTATTACTAAATCACTTGTAGGGATGAGCAAGGGAAAAATATATCGATATATGTCGGATCGATATTTTAAACAGTATAGATAGATATATATATATATCGCGTGGTAAATATCGATATATCGTCATCATTTGCATGATGTAAAGATAAGGCCCTAAATTTTATATTACTGCCGGTTAGACGACGAAAAAAAAAGAAACGAAAACCACCCATGAATTTAAAAATATATCGAAATTGATACGGTTTCTTTACTCTTAAATAAATATCAATATATCGTTATTAAAATTTCGACGATACATATAAATATTATTGAGCAAATATCGATACATCGATATTTTTTGCCCAAGTCTAGTCACTTGGTCCATAACAAATGCACGCACGCACGCAGGCACGTGGAGATTGTGTTTGATTTGATATTATTTATGATTTAATATTAAGTTTTTACGTGGTAGAGCCATGCTGCAGCTATATTAGTAGTATAGTTGTATAATTAAAATAGCAGCTTAACACTTCTGTGTTTTTTACTCGAAAAGAGGTATTCCATCATAGTCGTCACAGGTGACGACGCATCTGCATTTTGATTATTGAGGACATAGAAGTATTAGGCTGTGTAATTACTCTAAGATTGAGGATAGATGTAGATGTCTATGGGTCACAGCAACCACTTGCCATCAGGTGGACTGTGTGCTCGTTTATCACCCTATCCTATAAAAAAAATGTTCTTGTTATAGTTTAGTGTGGTGAGATAACTTTTTACTATTTGTTTAGCTTTTGATGTAGTGCAATTTTTGATGTCGCAGACTTTTGAGTATTTTGTTATAGATATGGGGATGTGAAAACTGCGCGAGGCGTTGCGCAAAAACAGTCATTACAGCTGGAATTGGGATTTTAAATATACTTTTAGTGATTAAGTGGTCGTAGTTAGTCGACTGAGTTACTTGCCCATGTGTTTTAGATGCTGCGGATAGAATATATAACTGGTGTACACTCAAAACCTCGGTATCCCAATTCCTAATAAAGATCGGCCGTAGGTACAAGGTAGGGCTTTTTCAACATGACCTTCAAAACTGCTCTCTGTGCCCTCTCTAACTGAATGTGTGTGTGTGTGTGTGTGTTGTGTGTGTTTGTGCTTGTGTGCGTGCGTATGTATTAAGCCGCGTCTCCACCAATGTTTTGTTGTCAACACAACAGTTGCCAACAAAACTTGTTTCCATTTTCGGCGGCAACATCAAAGGAATACGCTTGTTGCCAACATTTGTTCCCTCGGTGGGGACGCTTGTTGACAGAAACATTTGTTGGCAACACGTGTTGGCAACTGTTGTGTTGGCAACAAAACTTTGGTGGAGACGCGGCTTAACAGGTGGACTTTGGAGCACTTTGCATTTGAAATTAGTGGGAAATTGCAGGAATGGCCTGTTGGGTCAACAGTAATTTTTTAAATTGAAGTACCAAAATGAATCAAATTCACGTTAGAACATACCTGTTAAGTACCAAAAAGAAAATCACAAAGTTCGATAGATGTCACCGTGTACGCTACTAGAAGGCAAGTAATCTGGGACTATCGTATATTTTCTCATCACATCTTCTTGTCAGGTATACCTCAAAACTTGAAAATGAGATTGTAAAACAAATGCATGTTGCCAGTAATGACTTGTAGATCAGTGTAGATCAGAGACGTGGTCCTTCACTGCTGGCCGTATGGGGAAGCTCAAGGTCGCTCAGCGAGCTATGCTGGAGTTTTTTGCGTGATAAACTTAGAAAAGAGGATAAACTCAGTAGAACCATAATGACTGACATAGCCCAACGGATTAGTAAGCTGAAGTGGCCATATAGCTCGAAGAACCGACAACCGATGGGGAAGAAAGGTTTTCAAGTGGCGGCCTCGTACCGGCGGACGAAATGTAGGGCGTAACCCCCCACTAGATGGGGTGACGACCTGGTAAGACATGCAGGAAGTCGATGGATGCAGGTGCAGGTTCAGCAGCTTACTTGTGAGGGGCTGTAATGATGATGATGATGATCGTATATTTAGTTAGTAATGAAATATAACAATGTTTACCTTCAATTCGTTTGCCAGCCGTGCTTCCACCTGTGCCACGCGTTGTCTCAGCTCCGCAATGTCCCGCATCAAACGCGCGGCTGCAAGCTTGTTATCAGCCTGTGACAATCTTTTTTTGTTTATATAATAAGGATGACAAACGGGCACACGGTCCAACTGATGGTAAGTGGATGCTGTGGCCCTCAGACATCTACATTTATCCTCAATTAAGAATCAAAATGCAGATGCGTTGTCACCCCTGAGGACTAAGATGTAATGCCTCGTTTTCAGTAAAAATGATCTCCGGTTCTCTACACTCACCATACGAAACACAGCAACATTAAGCTGCTATTTTACGCTGGTATTCTGTGAGAGCGTGGTCCATCCCCGGTCGAGCCGACCCATTCGTGCTACAACTATACTACTAATATAGCTGCAGCATGGCTCTACCACGTGTAATGCCTCGTTTTCAGTAAAAATGATCTCCGGTTCTCTACACTCGCCATACGAAACTCAGCAACATTAAGCTGCTATTTCACGCTGGCATTCTGTGAGAGCGTAATCCATCTCCGGTCGAGCCGAACCATTTGTGGTACAACCATATTTTAGCTGCAGAATGGTTCTACCATTTAAAAAATCATCATCATCAGGTGGTGGTGATGTAAAACAATTCATCACCTTATCTTGTCATATGATTGTCATAAATTATGTTGACTGCGGAAATGATTCTTGATCCTGATAGACAAATATTTTTGACCTGGTTGGGGCTCTTCACAAGGCGTAAATTTTACGGACTGTTTGACTCAAAAACCAATCACATTACAAAATTCATGTAGTTTCGAAACTGTCGGTGTGAGTAATTTATGGCTCGACCGGGGTAGGACCACGCTCTCACAGAATACCAGCATAAAATAGCAGCTTAATGCTGCTGTGTTTAGTATGGTGAGTGTAGAGAACCGGAGACCCTTATTACTGGAAACGAGGTATTTCATTTTACTCCTCAGGGCTGAAAACAAATATGCATTTGGATTCTTAATTGAGGATAGATATAGGTATCTTTGGGATACAGCATTCACACACATCAGGTGAAGTGTGCTCGTTAATCAACGTCATTCTAAAAAAAAATATTATTGCTAAAATTATTGCGGTGTGGCGCCAATTTAAAACTTACAACTTTGGACGGGGCATTCTTAGCAACGTTCCTGCTGACAATGTTAGGCAGCTGCGTCACTGAACAAGGCGTGAAGAGCTGTTCCGAGTGCATTTTCGTCACACCCTGTATCGCCTGCGAACGGAACTTTTTGTAATGATTTCTTATATTTACGCGATCAGTACACATTTAAATAAAACTAGTTTTACGGATTTTATCGCGTATATTAACTTATTTTATATTCCCGACGTTTCGAGCACTTTACAGCACCCATGGTCACGGGGTGTCGATTCTTAGAACACATAGCTGATGTGAAGAATCGATACTCCGGGAAGTCTGCAGTCTGTGAACACGTACAGGATCGCCCCCGTCACTACATTAGATTTGATAGACCACAAATCCTCGCAAAAGAACACCGATTTCTTCCAAGTGTGATTCGCGAGGCTATTGAAATCAAAAAACATCCTAATTTGTTACCATCTGCTTGGAATCCCATAATTAATAAAATTAAATCCCAACCCAAGCATACAACTGCAAGACTTCAAGATACTGTAAGTTCATACTGCGTAGATCGGAACATCGTAGACTGGTATACAGTAATCTGTGCTGCGTAGATCGGAACAAAAATTAATAATTTTTAATTTGGAGGTAGCCGTGTTTAACTATGACACTGGGACGTTATACACCTCAGTCCCCCCCGTGACCATGGATGCTGTAAAGTACTCGAAACGTCGGATATATAAAATAAGTTATTATACGCGATAAAATCAGTAAAAACTAGTTTTATTTAAGATTATTTTTTTGTATAAATTTGTCGTGAAGGTTTAGGTGACGTTAGATAGTACTCTGCTAATTTACGTTAAGAAAGATAGCTTATTGTAGGGGCTTCCCAAAGTATACGCCGCGGGGTCCCGTTGCTGTGTAGAAAGCAAAGCGCCGCGCCGTGACGCGATCCCGTTTACCATTCTCGAGAAACTAAACTTAGGTACAAGATAAACAATAAAGATCGTTGCATACGTCACCCATTCGCTGATCGCTACATACGCTCGGAAACGAGTCCAAAATGAATATTTATCAAATATAATCTAATATACTGAATAAAAATGATTCTATTCTATTCTATTCATCATCATCATTATCATATCTGGCTGCCTTACCTGCTTTCATGATTTTCATTGCTTTCATTATTTCATCTACACTTATCTATCTATCAGAATTTCTATTTCACTTACTTCAGACGACTCTTCACTCTTAAACACGCTTTCAAAGTATTCCTACCATCTCTTTAAATTCGAAACTGAGTTGTGAAATATGAGTTATATTTTATGTTAATTAGATCAGGAATAGATATTATACCAATTAACAAATATCGCTATCGTGGTAGAGCCATGCTGCAGCTATATTAGTAGTATAGTTGTAGCACGAGTTTGTCGGCTCGCCCGGGGATGGACCACGCTCTCACAGATACCAGCGTAAATTAGCATCTTAACGATGCTGTGTATGTGTGTATAACCGTATGGTGAGTATAGAGAACCGCAGACCCTTTTTACCGGAAATGAGGCATTCCATCTTAGTACTCACGGGGGACAACGCATCTGCTTTTTGATTCATAATCGAGGATAGATGTAAATGTCTATGGGCCAAGCAACCACTTACCATCAGGTGGGCTGTGTGCTCCCTTGTCAGCCTATCCTATATATAAAAAAAAACTTTTAACTTTAACTTTATTTTATGTTTTCTTTTTTTTGTCAAACCTGTGCGACAGCATTACGCGCGTGCTGAACGTGGTGTGCTTCCTCCCTCTCTAGATGTCTTTTGAGGTGCTCAATTTCCGACATGATGCTGGATTTTTCCTTCTCCAATCTCTGGTTTGCGTGTTTTAATGCCTGCAATGAGAATTTACTAATAGCCTTAGTAGAACCGCGCTGCAGCTGTATTATCGTTGTAGCACAGATGGGTCGGCTTAACAGGGTAGGACCGTGCTCTCACAGAACACCAATAACATACCAGCTAATGGAGTTATTTTCGTATGATGAGTGTAGAGAACTGGTGGCCCTTTTTACTGGAAACGAGGCATTCCATCTTATAATCAGGGGTGACAGACAACACATTTGCATTTCGATTCTTAATCGAGGATAGCTGGTAAATGTCATGGGCACACAGCATCCACTTACCATCGGGTGGACTTTGTGCTCGTTTGTCGCCATTATCCTGTAAAAAGCTTACCTTCATCTTTTCCTTTTTCTCGTAGTGACATTCCTCTACTCTCCTCTTGAGTTTCCTCTTCAGTTCTTCTAGGAGGCTCGAGAGGGTGGCTCGGTTGTTCTCGAGGTCCGCACGCTGCTGGACTATCTGGTTAATGGCCGTCAATAGTTTTATTCCTGCGGATATAGAATTTTTATATAAAATTATGTTAACGCCATCCGATATGCTACTATCGCTGTATACTCAATGTTTTTAGAACGAAGTTCCTTATCGGACGCTAGGAACAAAAAGTGTAAGATTTTTTTCGTCACTACCCCTTAGGTCATAGTGTGCTTGCATAGTGGGCTTGGCGGCGAAATAAGGAAGTGAGATGGAATTATATCCATCTCTGTCACACTTTTCTTATCTTGCCATGAAAGAAATATTATTTTATTTCAAATGACGCTTAATTTTAATAGACGCTACTAATTCATTTATTTGTATTTGTTAATCAATAATATAATACGTTTCTCAGTAATAATATACTACGCAAGGCACTTCGTTCCAACCAAGTGTTCCACGACACTCACGCATTTTTTTTTATAATAGAAGTAAACATGACAAACGAGCATAGAGCCATCTAAATCCAAATAAATAAATAAATCTCAGTTTCCACATCGTACATAACTGTGTTTTTTTTTTGATCGATCGATCACTACTGTTGCATCCCTTTGCATTTTCTATCGCACCTACCACGGGGAGTGCTCTGAGGTATTGTTTGGATTAATTCCACAGCCACCAAATTTCACGAACGCACATCGCGTCAAAATTCACGATACAATCCACACCATCTGGATGCTTGGCGATCCCCTACTGTACTCTGGATTGATACGGCTTAGGAACCTTTAAGAAATTGGTTGGCCTTTCAAAAAGGACCACTATACTACCTCTAAGGCCCGTATTAATAAACGTTACTTAACAACGAACTCAAGTTCGTAATCATTTGATACGCCCTTATTACGATATCAGCCTCTCAAGATCGTTGCTAATTAATAAAAACATAAAAACAGTATCTCAAAATGCTGTACTTAGGAATACTGTTCTGTGATTTGCACTCAAGTACACACACTTGAGAGTCGAGTTTCTTTTATTAATCAGTGTGGCAATCAGCTGCTATCGTAAACCTATACCGCATCTTGAGATATGTTTATTAATTAGATCATACCCTAAACAATGTACTTATAACCTGTCGGAAATATCTGCGAACCTCGCTGGAATGCGCTTCCCCTCGCGCTTCCCCGCACCTCCGCCCGTTATCGTCTATCCAGTACCGTTGCCATCTCTCCATATTGCATGACGTCATCAAGCCAGGTTCGCAGATATTTCCGCCCGTTATCGTCTATCCAGTACCGTTGCCATCTCTCCATATTGCATGACGTCATCAAGCCAGGTTCGCAGATATTTCCGACAGGTTATAAGTGCGTGTACTTGGGCTGAGTAACGTTTATTAATACGGACTTAAGAATCGAATGCAGATGCGTTAACACCCCGATGCGTTTGAATTTAGAAAAATTCAAAAAATCTTTTCTCATGTACTGGGTACAGCAATATCGGAAGTCGGGACATTGTTAGTTTAGGTTTTGTATTATTTCGGTGGGACGTCACTAGAGTAACCAGGTGTTCTGTACTTTACGGAAAGCCCCCTTTTCAACTGACTTCAAAAAAGGAGGAAATTGTCAATGCGACTGCTTTTTTTTTTTTCTGTGTTTCCTCAGAACTTTTTTCTAGGTGAACCGATTCCGATGATTCTTTTTTGTTTGAAAGCTGTCGCTTCTCATATGGTCCCATTAGTTTAGTTTAGTTTAGTTTACGACAGGCTGTTTTCCGCAACTCCACGTCTATGCGCGTATTTTGCGTGTGGGCAGGAATAATGTGATTATTCGAGCCATGAGATCTCTCCGAAGAAGCTCAACAGGCCCTTGATGTTGCATGCAACTTCGGGGAGTGATCCCGGCGTGCCGAGATGTTTAGCCCTGTATGTAGCGACCTCCGGACATTTCAGTAGCACGTGGGCCGCCGTTTCTTCCTCCCCCATACATGCCCTGCACAGGGGACTATCTGTAACACCTATAGTAAATAAATGTTTGTTAAAGGTGCCGTGTCCTGTGATAGCACTTGTTACTATCCTAATCTGCGGCTTGTTCAGTCTCATTAAAACTTTTGTTAAGCGACTGTTAATTTCAGGCAGGGCATCCCTAGCTTGTCTACAGTCTACTAGATTTTTCCAAAGCTGAGCGTGTTGAATTGTGAAGTGTCTACGTACCAGTGAACAAACGTTACCAAAGGGGATTGGTATGATTGGTTCCGGCCCTATAGTGGCCAAAGCCGATCCTCTTCTGGCCAGTTCGTCTGCTGCATCGTTGCCTCTGGATCCACTGTGTCCCTTTATCCATTGCAGGGTCACATTGTTGTTTTTACATACCTCACTTAATCGTTGATGGCATTCATATATTAGTCCCGAGTTCACCACATTACATCTCAGGGCTTGTAGTACCGCCCTACTGTCGGTCAGTATTCTGATGGGGAAGTCATTAACCTTCCTAGCATCTATTGCTATGGCCGCTTGAATGATACCCATACATTCCGCCTGAAAGACCGTGTTATAGGTACCCAGCGGTGTGCATATGTGAATATTGAGGTCTTCAGAGAAAGCTCCACAACCTACACCTTCATTTGTTTTAGAACCATCGGTGAAAATTCTAAGCTCTTTTGGGCTTAATCCTTCCGGCTGGCTGTTTTCATTTAACTGTATCTTGTATTTCTTATCGAAAACAAATTGTTTAGGAATCCTATCGTATTTCATATGGTCCCATATAAAATTAGTTATTCTTAATAATGCGCATTTAATTAACTTCGACTATATTGATGATGTTCTCATTTTATTTATATTGAAGTCGGTTATACAAAATTTTTAATTTTACCACATGTTCAGTCACGTACCATGAGTTTTACTTTGTGAAACCAATACAGGACAGTATATTGTCCCGTATTTATGATATATATCATCCAAAATGTATATTATTCTCGCACATAGTGCTGTACTCCGCGAGTACATACCGTACTCAAGATTTTAAAGAAAAAATTGCTAGACTCTTTTTTAGCCTTGAATCCCGTAACGACTTTTTTATGTTTATGCGATCGCTATGACATTAAATATAAAACTACTCTTATGGTTTTCATCGCGTTTGATTGTTTCATAGTTGTGCCGGAGTACTTTTAGATTGTGTTACGGACGGCGAAGGAGGCCGCCGCCCCGTCGCCCCTTCATACCCCGTTGAGCCCCGCGCACCCCGCACACCGGCAGCAGATCACGCGATGTCGCCGACCAATCAGCGCGCGGCATCGCCTCACGACGCTACTCACATACCGAGACGCTCTCTTGCGGGATATAGGAAGGGCGTTTTGGTCTGTGAGGTGTTCATTTTTCGGCGTTCATTTCGAAAGCGGCACTCGAAGACAACAAGAGAGAAGAATTTATACTCCATTGCAGACTCCCCTCTGTGTATACAGTTAATTAGTGAAAGCCGCATTTGTAAATAGTTTAATACAGTATAGTTCTACAGTACCATCTTTTCTTTGAGCAGTCCCCTAGCGTAGTAATTAGTCAGTCATACAGTCCACTTGCAATAGTAAATTCATACATATATTTTTTATTTTTTTATTCATACATAATTTTGGCTCTATCAAGCAACTGTGCACGTACTGCTTCTTATTTGTTAATTTGTAAGCATTTTAATGCCCAAATACTCAAGCGCTGCACAATTTTAGGATGCCGTTAAGTCTCGTGCCGTCTCTATCACTTTATGTCAAAGTAACTGAGACAGCACGAGACTTACGACATTTTAAAATTGAGTGGCGTTTGAGTATTAGGCCATAAGACTGATATTGCCCGTTGCGTTTGTATATTTTCTTTCATTTTTCTGTCTTACTTTGTTCGTTCAGACGAAACCTCTGAGCGGCGGGTTGAAAGTGACACGCATCAGGGCTGGGTGCTCCAGAATCGTATCCGGGGAACGACTGGGGACCTCCATTGCAGCTTGAATCTGACGAATCCTGTACAGAAATCATTAAAATCACTGACACGTGTGGCAAATCACAATGCTGTGTAAGTCCCAACGTTAATGTATGGTAGTGAAAGTTGGTTGTGGCAGAATATGGAAGAAAAAAGAATAAGGTACGTAAATTATATGTTCGGTAATATGGTCACCTTAAGCTTTGCCGCCCTATAAAACCAAAACTAGGAGGAGAACGGAGACAAAAACACAAAGTCGTATATTATAATTAATGTTAAATAACAAACTAGCTATGGCAATAATTAGAAAAACTTCGAATAATCAACTTGATGAAGCTAACTACACGCCTTTTGACCGTTTATTATTTGATTGACTGAAGAAGAGCTAACGTTTCACAGAGCCATCTATGCAAACAAGACTATAGTTTTTGAATTATAAGAAAGTTACCATATTAATCAGATCGCCATATTACCCTTACGTACAATATTGTGAAACAAAAACGATAAATGTTATTGCTTACATTGATTCTTATTAGAATTAATGTAAAAAAAAAACTTATTACGTTAATTCTAAATTTTATTTGCACAATATCATGTACTACAAAAAATTTCAAAGCTTCAGAAGTACAAAATGTATGGTACCGTTTTATTTTTTATTTATTTATCCATAAGGGTCGCCGACAGATGATACACAAAAAAACCTAAAACCAAGATACAAGCATTGTGAGAGACATGCAATGTGCTCACCCAGTTATAGGCAACCATAGCTAACACAGAGTAATGTTGCGAAAAGTTAAATGACGTAGAATTTAATAGTACAGCAGCAAAATTGCGTATAATTTATAAGAAATTAAAAAAGTTTACATTTATCATGTAAAATTTAGATTCTGAATAAAGTAACATTTGTCTTTTACCGTTATGGTTACAGCCTATTAAAGTCCAATGCGAACATAGGCCTCTCTCATAGATTGGCTCATATGCGAAATATTTGCCATAGTTGCCACGCTTGGCAAGCGGGATGGCAGCCGCAGTTTATTAATTTTAGTCATTATAAGAAAGACGCTGCTGCCCATCTCCTGAATTGTATCCCTCTGTCACCTCTTGCGTCACCCACGGGATGGTATGGGGTAGTGGATATTCTTACACCGCCATTACACCTACACGGTATGTAGGTGTAATGGCGGTGTGTTTGTGAAGAAAAATAAATTATTTTATTTTATTTATTTATTTATTTTATTTATTATGTATGATAATGGGAACAACAGTCAACCTGTCAAGTGACGATTGATTTAAATCCCTCCTACAACTGGAAGTCGGCAAACAAATAGATTTTTATATACAATATTAAAAACTATAATAATAATAAAAAAAACTAAAACTAGAAACTTAATTACCATACAGTCCTACTCCCCGCGGTATCGTGCCAAGAACGCTGGCAGCGTTTCCCCGCTGATGACTATGTGATAATTAAGTTTCTAGTTATAGTTTTATTTTTAATTATTATAGTTTTTAATATTGTATATAATTAAGTTTGTTAATTAGGTAATTACTAATTATCTATTAAATACATATAGGACATTAAGAAAGATTTTTATTATAGCAATTCGCCCCGGCTAGGCCTGGATAGGATCCATTAATGTGGCTTCATTTAGACATAAGATAATTATAATATATCACAGAATACCAGCGTAAAATAGCAAATCAACGCTGCTGTGTTTCGTATGGTGACTGTAGAGGACCGGAGACCCTTTTTGGTGGAGCAGTGGCTTAGCAATGAGTTGTTGCGCTGCGGCCGCGGGTTCGAATCCGGCACAGAACAAGTACTTGTATGGCCTACAAATAATTGTTCCGGGTCTGGATGTTTGTCCTTGTGCAATTTATGTTTGTAAACTGCCTCCACGATACAGGAGAAAATCCTAGTGTGGTGGTAACGTTACAAATTGTCAAATACGCTATCATATATCTTCTATTTTATCTTAAAAATAATTCTTAAGTTTCTTTTTATTTGTAAATTTACAATCAGGTCCATCTTCCTTACCCAGTTTATTTCATTAAAAAGCTTTGGTATTAAATATTTTGTACATCTTTTACCATAGTAGTTTTTAACACTAAGCTCAACTAATTTCCCTTCTCTAACTTTCCTGGTTCTATATTTATTATACACTTTTTCTTTATAGTGATTTTTATTATTGTTTTCCAAAACGAATAACATGTTAACTTCGTGTTCTACCGGTAAAATTTTACAAATAGAGAATAACATATTATAATCTTTTTTGCAATTTTGTTTAACTTTTTCATTTACAAGATGTTTTTTTAATTTTCTAGAATCATTCTGCCTATTGATGAGAACCGCATCAAAATCCGTTGCGTTATTGCGTAGTTTAAAATATATAAGCAGGCGGCGGGAGGCTAATTTGTTTTATACTATGTACTTAGAGATGAAATATTACTAATATTTCAGAAAGAAACTTTAACTTTTACATTTACGGAACAAATTAACTTCCCTGCCATGAAATCTGTCAAATATTATATCCACTATAGAAATAATAGTTATACAAATATCTATAATATCGACACACACTTGTCAAAAACAGTTTTGTCTCTTTTTAACAAAGCAGTAGCTGGAAGAGAAAAGAGAGACAACTACAGTTTGTATACTTTTAAGTCAGTGTAGCTCATTGCTAAGTGGCGCCGCCCTGGTGGCAGAAAAGTGCATCCCTTCATTAACTACTCTAGCGCTTGGGTACATGGACGTAGATACTGCCACAGATAAGTTGTTAAAAAAAAACTCACAAGTGATTTGTACTTGGGTAACTCGTCGTTGGAAAACCTCACGCTGTGACTGCGGGGCAGTTTCTGCACGTTCTGATGAAGAACTTTCAGAGCCATTGTTGTCACTGTTAGATCTGCGGGATAAACAGTAGAGATAACTAGTTTTGGCTAGCGGCAGAACCATAGACCAGATTCGCCACTGGATTCAGTAAGGCTTGTGCTTTCATCTACTTGCTTTTCATGGAGGAACACCGTAGGGTTTTAGTCGGTGCAAGGCGTGATGCGAGGCAGATATGTGAAGGCATTTCCCTATGTAAAAGAAGGACTACATTCCTCCAGGGTACCATCGTGAAATAGCGGTATAGCATCATAATTGCAGCACCGACCAGTGCTAACTCGTAATAAAAAGTTAGTTGAAAACTTAATCTATTTTGGTGTTGTCGTTTTATGTCTATCTGCATACACTATAGAATATATTATATGGAATATTTGTGAAAAACGAGCACACAGGCCACCTGATGGTAAGTGGGTGCTGTGGCCTATAGACATCTATTTCTATCCTCGATTAAGAATCAAAATGCAGATGCGTTGTCACCCCTAAGTGCCAAGATAGAATGCCTTAGTCCAGTAAAAAGGGTCTCCGGTTTTCCTCACTCTCCATACGAAAAACACAGCAGCATTGAGCTGCCATTACGTTGGTATTCTGTGAGAGCGTGGTCTTTCCCCGGTCGAGCCGACCCATTCACAATACAACCTATAATAACTATACTAAACTATATACCTACATTATAAAATATATAAGAATGAGGAGCGCAGTGGTAGATACAAGGGTTTACCGGGGGTCCAACGTAGGGACGGATCATTACTTGGTCTTATGCCGAATTAATGGTCTATTCAGACGTTGGCGGCATCGGACATCGGTGTCTACCACTGCGTTACAGCGTATAAGAATAGAGAGGTTACAAGATGAAGGTGTGAAAGAGAAGTATAAATGCAGACTGAGGGAAAATATAAGTGGGTTGAATGAATTATGTATGAATGATTTAGAATTGAAGAATGTATGGAATAATATTAAGAAAGTTTTGGTGGATGCAGCCACCGAAGTATGCGGTGTAAGTAAGAGAACGAATGAAAGGAAAAGTAATACGTTGTGGTGGGATGATGAGGTACGGATGGAAGTTGAAGCAAAGAAGAGAGCATGGCTAGATTTACTAGCAACTAAAGCTGGTAATTCTGGCGGTATGAATGATGAGATTGAAAGAAAAAAGGCAAACTTTAGACGTATAAATAAGAGAGTAAAAGAAGTTGTTGAAAGGAAAAAGCAAGAAAGGATAGATAAAAATGATAGAAGGATATCTGATAACTTCCAGGAAAATATTAAAATGTTCTGGAAGCTCGTTAGAACTGCCAGGGGAATTTCAAAACAGCCTAGAATGAATGCTATACGAGACGAGAATGGCTGCATGCTGAATGATGAAGTTTCGAATTTAAAGAGATGGAAGGAATACTTTGAAAGCGTGTTTAAGAGTGAAGAGTCGTCTGAAATAAGTGAAATAGAAATTCCGGAAGAAGTGGAGAGAGGTAGGGAGATAAGTGTAGATGAAATAATGAAAGCAATGAAAAGCATGAAAGCAGGTAAGGCAGCCGGATATGATAGAGTATCACTCGAAATGCTAAGGGCTGGTGAGGGTGTGGTTGCAGGCCTGCTGCACACCTTGTTTAATTTATGTTGGGAACTGAAACGGGTACCGGAAGACTGGTGCAAAGCCGTTATAGTCCCAATATATAAGGGAAAGGGGTCGCAGCAGGACTGTAAAAACTACCGTGGTATCAGCTTGCTTAGCATTGTGGGTAAACTGTATGCTAAGGTGTTAATTGAAAGAGTTATGGAAGAAAGTGATGGAAAAATTTGGGATGTGCAAGCTGGATTTAGAAAGGGGATGGGGTGTACGGATCAAGTCTTTTCCATGCGCATGATAGCGGAGAAGTTTTTGGCTAAAAACCAGAAAGTTTTTTGTGCGTTCTTGGACTTGGAAAAGGCTTATGACAGAGTGGACAGGAACGTGTTATGGCAAACACTGAACTCATTTGGGTTGAGCGCTGGCTTGATACAGGCATTAAGGTCTCTTTATAGGGACTCTAGTGCTTGTGTCAGGATCAACGGGGTCTACTCGGACTGGTTTGGCATTCATAAAGGTGTCAGACAGGGATGTGTGGCTTCCCCGTGGCTGTTTAACCTATTTATGGACAGTTGTTTGCAAACTTTGAAAGTTGAAGAATGTGGGTTGAGAATGGGTGAGTCAACCGTCAAATGCCTTTTGTACGCCGATGATCAAGTCATATTTGCATCGTCGGCGGCCGAGTTGCAAATGATGGTTACTTTAATGAATTGTTCATTGAAAGAAAGGGGTATGAAAGTGAACGCAAGTAAGACGAAAGTGATAGTTTTTGAAAGAGAAGAAAGTAAAACTTTATGTAAAATAAGAATAGAAGGGGAGTTGATTGAGCAAGTGGATGAGTTTGTATATTTGGGATGTTTATTTAGCAGGGATGGTAGATATGATAAGGATATAGAACGACGAGTGAACGCAGGAAATAGAGTGAATGGGGCTCTACACGCTATTGTGAGGAGTCAGAATGTGTCAACTAAGGCACGTATGGCAATTCATAATGCTGTGTTAGTACCCACTTTAATGTATGGTAGTGAAAGTTGGGTCTGGCAGAAGAAGCATGAGAGTAGAATAAATGCTGTAGAAATGCGTTCCTTAAGGAGTATCCTAGGGCTGAATCTGAATGACAGGGTGAGAAATAGTGTAATAAGAGAAAAGTGTGGTTTGCAAGATGACGTTGTGACAAGGATTAAGAAAGGAATGCTTCGGTGGTTTGGTCACGTAGAAAGAATGAACGAGGAAAGAGTGACAAAGCAAATTTATGTTGCAGAAGTGAACGGCAGGGTCGGGAAGGGACGCCCTAGACGAAGGTTTATCGACCAGATCGGCGATACATTGAAAATGGGCCAGATTAGGAGTACCCTTAACCGACGAGCGTGTATGCGTAGATATATGGATGTGAAAGAGGCGAGAGAGGTGTGTCAGGATCGCGCCAAATGGAAGTCCGTAGTCTCTGCCTACCCCTCTGGGTGACAGGCGTGAGTGTTTATGTATGTATGTATATGTATATAAAGAGTAAAGATTTGATCGTTTGTGGTGGCGAAACTCAAAAACTACTTAATCGATTTTAAAAATTCTTTCACTTGTAGAAAAGTACATTATCAGCGAGTAACAAAGGTGTATTTTATTTTTAAAAAAATCAGATATCCTTACGATAATTACATAAACTAAGGTATCAAAAAGTTACCTATAAAAGTCAGTTATTTGGCGTGCGCTGCGAAAACTATTGATGATGTATTATCAATAGTACATAATGTACTACATGTTTATAGTACTCATCATTGCCCACAAATAAGTCCGCGAGGCTATAGATATAACTATTCTACTATCCCCGAGGCTATAGATCTAACCATCCTACTATCTGCGAGGCTATAGATATAACTATCCTACTATCCCCGAGGCTATAGATGTAACTATCCTACCATTCGCGAGGCTATAGATCTAACTATCCTACTATTCGCGAGGCTATAGATCTAACTATCCTACTATCCGCGAGGCTATAGTTCTAGCTATCCTACTATCCGCGAGGCTATAGGAATAATAACCGCTTTTGGTTCAAACTAGTCAATCAAAACACGGGTGGAATCGAAAGATGATGACATTCGTATTATGATATTAATCCATATCCAACATAATAGTTTCATAGTCAATGTTGATTATGTACATGTGTTTCTTCTTTAAATTTTTCGAATAGGAACTTTCGTTTAGAAGTTACGTATTTTTATTATATTTTTCTTGTAAAAAGGTGACTGATTGACTGACTGAGTGACTGATCTATTTACGGACATCCAAACCATTGGAAGGGTTGGGCTGCAATTTGGCATACAACAGAGCTAGCATGGGCAGGAGACAATTTTATTCCCGGGGAAAGGAAAAAATGTTTATCCCCTCGCTTAGTTTTATCCACCCTTCGAGCATGGGCACACCGGTGGATATAATATACACAGTAGATAAAATGGGAGATAGACTTAGATAGATTTTTTGAATGAATATAATCTTAAACCCACGTGCATTGAACTAGGATAAAATTTGTTCCTTTGGTTTGAAATTTTTGACATTTGTCAAAAAAGCATATTTTTTTATCCTGCATTTGGCTCCATGCTACGGACGGGGGATATATGGCTACTCATTACGTCAAACGGGAATATACTTCTCCCCATTGCCGTGCTTTGGCATAAGTACAAGATAATTTTATCTCTTGTCAGTGGATATAATTGGGGGATAAATTTTTCAGCCCATGCTAGCCGTGCAAATAGCTTTTATATGACGCGGGCGAAACCATCCCCTAAGAGAAAGGATTTCTGAAAATTCACCTCCTAAGGTTGTAAAATCACAAAAAAGGTCACGTGAGCGAAGTCGCGGACAAAAGCTAATTACTAATTAAAAAACATAACGATATAACTCACACAAGTCACAAAATAAATAACAGTACTAACCCCAGTATAGAACTTGCAGACGACACGAGTACTCCGCCTTTTCTACGCCAATTTTGATTTTTAGTTTTCGACCAGAGCGACGGTAACAACTGGTGTGTACAGGTTGGCCCAATTTCATAAATATTACAATTTTTGAAGATTAATTAGTCTGCTGCATTACTCGCATTTTGTACTTATTTTTATATTTGGTAGGAGATTTTAGTAAGCTTTAAAAATGATGATTTGTGACCTATCTAGAAGATACCTTAGACTGAAAAACAGTCTTACCATCTGGTAAAATAAAAGTACATGTTGTGTAAGGTTTAGAATAAGATTATGTATATGGATGTGTTTGCATGATGATTGGATTTGATCCAATGGGATCCTTCATTTACATAAATATATTTGAGATTTTGTGAGAAATCTATTTTAACGATCATACTTTGGCTGTAAGTAGATAAGTGTAGGTCTTCTGCTGAGTGAGGTGAGACGCTCCATGTGATAGAACGAAGCTTGTTCTATATAATTCACC